TATTACAACTGTAAACTATAATTATAATTAAATTTTTATAAGTCAATTGAAGACAAACTATACATCATTTTTAAACTCCTAAATAATTCTAGTAAAAAATCAATTTAGTGTTTCATATTTTTGTTTTAAATTTTTTTTTGAAGTTAAGCTTCTGTTTTGTTGTGAAATAAATTTTCTTGAGATTATTTTTTTTTTTAAAAACTAAGAATTGTAGAAGTTTATTCAAAAAACTTTTAATGACTCTGATTCTTGTAGTACATTCCACTACTTTAGTTAGAGAGATTTTTCTAATATTGTTCTTTACACATCAAGCATTTTTAGAGTGTAAAGAACAGTACAGTATTAGGAAAATGTGTCTCTGAATAAAGCAGTGGAATGTACTATTATAGAAGTTTAATTTGCTGAAAAGTTTGAACTTCTCAAATAGTTCAGCAATTATTTACTGAGGCTTTTCACTTTTGATTGGATTTCTGGAAAGAATGGAAAGTTTTTCCATATTTTTTTAAGGTTTAGATTCTATCAAATGATCTAAACTAAACGCTTATAAAAATATGTAATGTATTAATAAATGATTTTTTAATACATTATAAGTCATTTTGGTGTACAAATATGTAAATTCAAATTTTATAAGATTGTAAAATCTAAAACAATATTTTATTCTTGATATATAGTTGTTTCATAATCCAATATAAGTACTTTTGGCCAGTTCAGTTGTTTTATTGACTGCAGAAAATTATAGAACAGTCAAAAGTAATAGATTGTAGTTTATGGAATTAGCAGGTGATGATATCGGTAATAGCATGTGTATGAAGTAAAAGTTGTTACAATAAAAGAAACCCAGACTAGAATATTAGAATTATAATTAAATTGCTTTTGCATAAATGATAGAGAAGTTGAGAGTTTTAATAAGAAATTATTTGAAGTAACAAATTTAAAACCATTTTATTAATAATATATCAGTTTGTATTAATCTCAATGTTAAAATTTCAGTTACATTATTTGTAGGTGTTAATAATTTTGTCTAATGCAATACTTTATTTTGTCTGATCTATATGTATTTATAGACTTGAGATTTAATATAACTTCATATTAGATCTTAATATAATAATTATTAGTAAATGGAAGAACAAGAATGGTTTAGGTTCAAATTAAATTTAATGAAATCACTTTTTCTTATAATTAAGTCTTTCACAAGTTAGAAGTCACATTCAACTAGTGTTAAAGATAACACACTTTTTTACTAGAGCAAGTAATTTTTGGATAAATTAGATTATCTATCTACAAGATAGGATCAATATTATATAACTTTTCTTTCTGTGTAACTTTCAATTACTAAGTTTGTGAATAGTTTGCTTATAAAATTATTTTATGGGAACAATGAAAAAACTGTAGTCTTTTCATAAATGCAATTAAATTTTTTGTTTAAATATTATGTACAATTTTTAATAGATGAACTATCTTCTAATTTTGAATTTGTATTGTGGTGTTACTTTTTATGAAGAAAAATTTAATTCTGAATATTTATATAATAATTACATTATTGTAATATTATAATATAGATCTTGACTTATGTCTTAACTTATAAAATTTTGATACATTATCATCCTGAAATAATTCCTGAAATTTTGCAGTAGAATCATAATTTTATAGTGGCAAAGGAATATTGAAATAAATTTTTTAAACTGGTTTTTCTAACTATAAGAAGTGTTATTGCTTAGGATGTAAAAACAGTATTGAAGTTTTTATCATGTTCTTTATTTCTTTAAATTTAATTGCTTAGAATTCTGCAAACTGTAAATATTCAGGCATGATAGATTGCTAGATATTAAAAGATTGAAGACTACTGATTTAGAGTTAATGAACATTGTTTTTAAAGATGTTAATTTACTTTTAATTTAAATATACATCATATTAATTTTTATTTTTTAAAATACTCTTCNTATTTATATCATTCAGAATTGATAATTTTTGAATTATAATAAACAGAGCATAAAAAGCTGTTACAAATTTGGAAATGCCATCAAAATCAGAATAAAAATATACTTAAAAGCATTATTATGCTTATTGATTCCAGGAAAATATTACTAAAGCATGACATTTTTGTGGCATTGATACTTCTTTAATAATCTTGAATTTCTGAGTTTTTATCTTAGAAGTTTAATGTTATTACTCAGAAAACCTGTTAATCCTACTAAATTCTGATCAATACTAATTTAAAACAATTTGAGTCATAATAAAATTGCATAACCTTTTAATAAATATCATGTACAGTTAACAGAATAATTTGTAATATAATAAATCACTAGAAAACTAATTAATGCTATAAATTCTTTAGTTGATCAATCAGATTATCATCTGAAATGTCACTAAAAATATTTATGGAAAATTCATCCAATATTCAAAAGAATTTATAATAATTATCCTCTTCTTAATATTAAATTCATATTTAAAGTTGTGTTTATCTAATATTCATTTGCAGTTTTAAAGCATAATAACTAAGCTGTAAATATCACTAAATACAAACTAATTGTGTTTGTTCATTAATAAGTTAGAATGTAAATACCATTCTGAAAAATAAATTGAATATTCTTATTGCTTCTGTACTTAAAATATTTGTGAAAGTGATATACGTTACAAAATTTACAAAACATGATTACTTCCAGTAAGTAAACGATATCAGACTTTGCTGTTACCTTTGTTCAGATTTAATATTAGATTCAGAATGAATGTTTTGTTTATTTAGAGATTGGAATGATGACTGTTGAACTAATTTTCTGGTTTGTTTTTTTAAGGAATAAATGTTTTCCTGTAAGTTTAACTAGTAAGCAAGCATGTGTATTAATGTTGAATTATAAATTAAATGTTATTTGGTAAGTGGACATTGAAATTTGACATAAACAAACAGTTTAGCTAGATTAAAATGGGAAGTAAGTTAATGTTAGGAATTAAAATTTAGATTGCATAATTTATTATTTAAAAAAATAATATAAATCAAATGATTATTTACAAATTATTATTCAAATAATATAAATGGATAATTCTTTATAATGAATATAACTTAATTTTATTTACTTTGATAATAGAAAATAATATAAAACATTGATTTATATTTATCCATATAAACATTTTGGTGATTTTTGCTTTCTAAACCACTTCAGACCAAATTAGAATTCATTTTATCATATTGCAATTAAGAACTAAATTTAATTAAATTTACATCAATAAGCTTCTTAAACTGGAGTAAAGTGTAAATTTAAAGCGTTCTAGTCTGTTTCAGCAACAATTTTTTATTTATCAAATATTTTTGGCTAACTTAGTAGCCCTCTTCAAGATCAAACATTCATGTGATAGTTCTTTTATATTTTAATGTTCTTAGAAGTGTTCTAAATATGAATCAATGATAAATAACTAAAAAACATGAGTAAAATGAAACCATAAAGTATAAACAATGACAATAATCCATCACAAATCTGTTGAATACATACAGTAGTAATTGGCATATAGTTTTCATGTAATCTTGGTTTATAACATATTTAGAACATTTTTAAGAACATTAAAATTTAAAAGAATTCTATTACATGAATGTTTGATCCTGAGGATGACTGCTAACTGAGCCAAAATTGTTGCTGGAACAGGCTAGAACTCTTATAAATTAAATTTACATCTGAAAATCAATTTTACTAAAATTTTAAAATAATTTTAAAAACAAACTATGCAGTAACTACATATTTTAAATGAATGCAGACCATTTTAATTTCAATTTGTCGATGATAAGTGATTATCATCAATACTACTGTAATTTGTATCTTATTAATCAATATTTAACCTAGTGCACCGGATTGATCAATTAATTTTTTTTAAAGTAATGAGTTTACTTATTATCTGATTTAAGAGATAACTAAAATCAAATACTTTCAACTGGTTTGATAATCAAAATAATAGACTATCTTTTAAATCTATCAATTTTTTTAATTTAAGAAACATTGTCTAACGAACAGGCCTTTTTTTTTTTTTTATTCTTTCTGAGATTGGCTATAGTAATTGTCAAAAACACTTTTTCTTTTATTAAATAAATGATGAATTTAAAATGTATTCTGCTAATTTTTTGACAATAAACAATTAATAAAAATTGTTACACGCATTTTTACAGGTACTTTTAATAATAGACATCACAAATAACAGAATTTACATGAAAAAACTTACTTGAACAATAACTATAATTTTCTTAAATTGATTGTAAGTTAATTTATTTGTACTGTATAATTAATGTTTTTATAATTTTAAAGGAATTTTTTAAATGCTGTTACAAAATTTTTACCACACCAATCAAGTGTTATGTTAAATTGTCTACATAAAAAGTAATTTTCATTTAAATTCAATAAAAAAGAGAAGCTTAATTTTTTACAAATTAAGATAAATTAAAAATGACACACAGAATGAATCTATTTGCTTCAATTTCTGAAATATTTATTACTCTTTACTTTTATAATCAAGTGTGATGTGATTTGTCTAACCCAAAAAAGTTAGAAGTCATCTTTTATTCAATGACTTATGCCAATTTTGGTTTTGTTAATGTAAGAATATTTTCTGTAGTGCTTTGTATCTTGGATATTTAATTAATGCAATATATTCAAATGTTATTCTAAGCTTTTTATATAGCGCTTTCCTCTTTTATGAATTGATATGAAGGCACTCCTTAATTTATGTAAACTTATGTAAGGTTTAAAGAAAGAAAATTTAGATTGTCACATATAATTTAATCTGTGGTATTTCTGCATACTTTATGCATTCAGTATTTGTATTAAAATTATTTTATCAATTTATTTAAATTTTAAAATAAATATCTTGTTGTTTTTTAAAATATCAAATATATAAGAATAAAAGTACGAGTTGGAATTGTGTATATTCTTAATTAAATGACTTAAAATATATATTTTATTTAATATATATATATTGCTATTATTTATTAAGTTACTTAAAAGTTATTTTTATTGTTTAAGGAAATGATTTGGAAATTTGTCCTTCTCCTAAATCTTGTTGCACGAATCAAATGGTAGAAAGATATATTGAAGCTGCTAAGAAAGATTTTAGAAACATGTTACAAACATCCAGTTCTTATTTAAAAACTTTGATAGCTTCTAGTGCTACAAAATTTCGGGGTAAGTACTAACACATTTTGCATTCTTCTTTTTAAATTAGATCTGTGGAACTTTTTTACGTGGATTATAAAAATACTCTTCAAAATTATTTATAATTAAAGAATAAAACTAAGAACTAGTTACATTTAAATTTGTATGCTTCTGTATTTGCATTTAAATTACTGTGTTTAAATTTAACATTGTTTTGATTTTTTATTTTTGACATTGTAATATATTCAGTTTATTTTACATATATTTTTCAAAAGATTGTTATATTGATTGATCATTTCTAGTATACATCTGTGTCAAAAATTAACATTTTGAATCATTCTGAAAATTTTTCTGTACTTTTCAGTTGACTGTGTCATGTATTCAATCACTTGAATATTGTTGTGTGCTTGATCAATCATTCAGATTAAATTTTTTGCTGATTTACTATTGATAAGTATCAAAAATAATATGTTGGTATTGTTGGTTTATATTCTATTGATTATTTTTTTACAGTCAATTAAATATGACACTTTAATATAGAAATAAGTGATGATAAATTCAAGTATCAGGTTAGTTTTAGATAATTTTCACATTTAAGATTTCAAATAAGTAATCTTGTTTAGGCAGAAACATTGATAAATTAAAATAATGTAAATAAAAGATGTGACTGTTTGATGTGATAAAACTCAAAAAGAGGAATTTATTATTAGTCTACACTCATAAAATATTAAATCTGATATAGTTCAAAACAGATGTGGCAGTAGAGGTTACGGTGAAGTCGTACAGAATATGGCAATATGAATCTATCTAAAAAATAGATTTATAGTTGAAAACATGAATTACATTTATCTAATTATTTGCTTTACCGGTTTCTCATCATCTATCTTAATTTGTTTTTAATCTTGAACTTAAGTGTAAATAAAAATTGAGGATTTTATTAAAAATGCTAAATTTGAGATCTGATCATTATTATTATTAATACTAGAAAATATCCCAAACAAAATTTTTTTACCTTAGGTTTTTATATGAAGATTCTTTTATTGATGATTGTGTTAATTTATTATTAAAAAAATACATTTTTTTTCTATATTAAATATTTTATCAGTTAGAAAAGCTCATTTTGCAATTTTATCAGAAGAAATAAATTGATAGGATTAAATACAATGTTAATGTTTGCATTTACTTTAAAAGATTTTTTTTTTAGCTCTTGGAGTTGTTATACCAGAGTGTATTGAATGAAACAAATATAATAAAACTATAAGATTTATTGTAATATATGCATCTTAATTCAGTATCATTAAAAGATTGCAGATATTTACTTTCTATAATTTTATATATCCAGTTTTAAATTTATTTTTGATTTTCAACAAAACATTAAATTGTAGCATCCATTTAATATGCAAGTAGCCATATAAACAAAAGTTAAGTCCATAGGTTTTAGAGCAATTCATTTTTAAGAATAACATTTTTGTGGCACATACTATATCTTCACAATTACAAATTTACTGCAATAAAATTTTAATTCTTTTTATTAACAAGGAAAATGAAATTAAAATATAAAATGTTTTGTATCTAATATTAATTGGTACAAGGCAATTTCCTTTGTTCAATCATGACTATTGGTGATAAATTATTTATACAAAAATTATGTCATTTGAAATCTACTTTTAAACTATGAATTCTTTAAGGTTACTGTTTATTTGATTTGGTTTTCTTAATCCCCTTTTTTTTATCACTGAAGATTGTTTTGTTAGTGACTGTATTTGTCATGTGTTTTAAATGTCTTTATTAACTTCTTGCTAATTTATTTTTAATGTTTTGCAGATAAGGGATTATAAACTTATCATATAAATAATTCAAAAAATTTTTATTTTCGTTTTATATTTATAAAATATTTTTTTTACATTTATTAGTAAAGTTGTTTGCAACAGTATTTCATTTAAATTTTNTCGGTGTGTGTATTCGCTTGTGCGGCACATAAATTCTCGTGCGCGGCAACAATTTCAGCAACCGCAGAACTTAGAGGGAACATTGATTATAATATCCAAGATAATTTTTTTAATCAGAAGAAAGTTTACTGTTTGTTCTTATCAAAGGCGTTAAAATATTATGGATTCTACAACAATGCAAGAGAATAAAGAAGTAAATTTTTATGATTATTTTATCTTTTGGTAATCTCTTGCCTTTATTTAGTTAAGTTACATTTTATATTACAAAACAAAATAAAATTTTAAATTTTTTTAGAAAATGATTTATAAAGTTTTATCAAAAATATGCTTTCAGATAACACATATTTTATAAAAAATTTAATTATTATTGAAGTACAGTGATACCCCGAACTTACGCGATAGGTGGGACCAAGCGATAACTGCATAAGTCGAATTCGCGTAAGTCGGGATATAATTTTGCAATTTGTGTAAAATTCAAGTTGGACATTTCAAGCTAATCATTTTGTGTCAATACTAAGTCAATTTGTGTAAAATTCAAGCTAATAAATGTTCTCGTTAATCTTATCTCGTCTTTTGATTCGTTCACAGTTACAAGAAATCACCACATAGTCTCTCAAGTCTCCGTAGATATAACAAACACAGAAATCAATAACACAAAATAAATTGTAGCTATGTGCCGATTCCGTGCGACACGTCCAAACATGTAAGTTGAACAATAGTGTGGGTGGAGTGAGTAATCGAGAGTTGCGTGGCGCTCAAACAAAAGATGAATCGATGAGATTTGAAAATCACATAACTCCGGGTTCGCATAAATCTGGGTAGCGTAAGTCGAGGTATTACTGTATTAAGGATTTTTAGTATCTGTGAATATATAAATTAACCATATTTGTATTTATATACATTGGTTCTAATAATTATTATAAATATTAATATTGTCTGAAGGAGATTTTTTGTTACAAAAAAAATTGAAAACTTTCATATTAATATTTAATTCATTTTTATATAATATATCAGAAAATTAATTAGGAGTATTTATCACAGCAACAAAGTGATTTTAAGTAAAGGCCCAATTCAATTTGGAGGAAAAACCATTAGTAATCCCCAAATGGAAAAGACAAGATGTTAGAAAATTTGAATATTTTATTAATATTTATCTTGTCAGATTTCTCATTAAGTACTCTGTTATTTGTGTTTTATAGTGAAGAAATAGTTTTTTAAAAAAATCTAAATGAATGTAAATAATTGAAATTTACTGAAAAATTGCTAGTTATTTTTAGAAAAGCATATAACATTTTTTGAAAATGTAAAGTTGCTAAACATGAAGAATTAATATAATTCATAATGTCAGACAGATATAAAGTATCACTTACTAGAAAATTTTGTTTTATGTTAGCTTCATGTGATATTTCCTCTTAATTTAAGTTTTTTGCCATCATTTTTCAGTTTCTTTTTATAATTATATGTTAATTAACTTTTGACATGATCATGATTAGATCAGTCAGTTATAAAATGACTAGTATTTGTAATGTTTTTATGTATTAGTATAAGTTTTCATAAATTCATATCTTTCTATTATTAATATAATTTAATTGGAATATTTGTTTTAGAATTTTAACATATCAGTGTTGCCTGTTAATTAGTGAAATTCTCCTGTAGAAAAAACTTCTAATTTATTTTTGTTTGAAATGTATTTTTATTGCTATGTAAAATTAAATACATAATAATTCATACTTTTACATTATATATAATTTATTATAATAATGGTTGTATACTAGTCATTTTTGTAGTTTTTGCTATTTTTCTAGATTCTTTTATAAATGTTTGTAGGTGGTACAGTCATTTAAAAAAATCACAAGTCTTTTCAATTATATACACCCACTTAGAGCAGTATACAGTAAATATGTTCCATTTTAGAACAGTGTATGTCTTAAAATAATTTTAAAGCAAAGCTGCTGCTTCTATATACAGTATATATAAATCTTTTGTGATGGTTTATTTTTAATAAACTGCCACAATTATATAAATTGCTTTAAATAGTGTATGATCACTTTATTCTGTTTATACAGTATTTTTGATTTTTGTCTACATTTTACTTTAAATAAATAAAAATGTTTGTTTAATATTTAAATATAATTTTCTTATTAAAAAAATGGTTTCTAAAAATAACTGAATTTATAATTTAAAAAAGCACACTTCTTTACTAAGAAGTGAATTTTTCTGTATTGAATTAGGTTAATTTTAAACATATGTATCAATAACTGTCCTATTTTAACTGGCAAACTTGTTTAGTTTGTATCAAAGATTTTATAAAGTACATTCTCTGCTATATTTTTTTAATAGATATAAATATTCTCAGATGTAAAATATGATTTGTGTATAATTTTTTTAAATGTATGAATAAATATATTTAGGTTCATGTATAAACTTAGATAACAAAACTGATATTAAATCTATAACTGTGATTTTAAAAATATGAGAGAAGAAAAATTGAAATAAATTTATGCATAATTAGTTAAATACTTTGATAAAAATACTTACTATATATGATTGTTAAATTTTCAAAGTTTTTAATTTGTGTATTTGTCACTCAAAACTAAAAAGTAAATGTACATTTTAAACTTAGAATATAACAAAGAACACCAAACTTTACAATTAAGGTTTGAAAGTATAATACTTAAATGTTAATACACTTGAATTAAGTTAAATAGACAAAAAATAAAATTATATTTATAAGTGCTTTTGATGAAAATATATATCTATCCTCTTTGCATTAAGAACAAATGGAAAAAAGAATAACAGATTTTTAGAATAGTTAAATATTTACAAGTATTTGTGTATATACTTTTATTTATTTATTTATTTATTTTGTATCAATATCAAACAGTTGTAATATTTTCACANTTTACAAAAAAATGGATACTGTTGCCAGAGAACCAGTTGTTAAACTTTATTCTGATCTTCTTTCATATATAAATGGTCGTAAAATAAATCTTGAAGAACGTATCTGGTCATTTTTTGATTCACTCTTTCCTCTTGTTTATCATCATAGTATAAATCCTAAGTTAAAAGATTTCAGTGATGATTATAAAGAATGCCTACGTCAAACTCAACAAGAGATTAAACCTTTTGGTGATATTGCAAGGAAAGTCACAGAGCAATTAACAAGATCTTTTGAAGCAGCTCATTTATTTTTAGAAGCAATGAATCTGGGTGTTGAGGTAGCAAACAGTACAGAACATTTGGAAATAAATTCAGAATGTAGTAAAAGTTTGTTCCGTTTGACATATTGTGCTCACTGTCATTCTTTAGTAGATGCTAAACCTTGCAGTGGTTTCTGCCTCAATGTTATTCGAGGCTGTTTAGCAGGAGTAGCAGAACTAGATCAGCCATGGAACGGATACATCATAGCACTGGAACGACTAACTTCAGGCATGGTGGGTTCCTATAACATTGAAGAAACTCTCAGTACTTTAGATACAAAAATATCTGAAGCTATTATGTATGCAATGGAAAATGGACCAGAATTATCAAAAAAAGTGAGTGAAAATATTCTAGAATAATTAATATGTAATAAATGCAGAAAAATGTGTCTAAAATGGACCTTTTCATAGAACAAACCTATATAAACACAATAAATATAGGAACAGAATGATTTGCCATTTAAAATACTCAAAAACCTTAGAATAAAGTTATATTATATTGCATTAAAAGGTTTTTGAGTGAGTATTTTAAAAAACTGCAGTTTAGAAAGGAGTAAACATTAATAAAATACTATTATATGCCAGAAAGATAACATGGAACATGAAAACTTTGGCGATCAATTGCACTACATAAACAAGTAAAGCAGAATTTTTCAGTATAACAACAACTAAATTCTATATCTTAATTAACGTTACAACTTTCAGATCTTGGTGATCCAAATCAAACTATGATGACCATCAGTTAAGTCAGTCTTACCATTTAAGTTTGTATTTTCATTGTCTGGAAAGTAGCTGTAACAATACAATACTGTTTCTTCCCACCTATCTAGAAGGATTAACTCATTTGCATGCAGGAACAAATATTTAAATATTGCTTTTGAGGAAAAATGTGCTAAAAATCTAAAAAAGGAAATAATACTTTGAATTAATTTTATTTTCAGTGATTTATCAGTTTTTGTAAGTAAGTTACCAAATAGTTACAATAAAATGGTTTCCATCTCTTCATATTAACTAAACAAAAGAAGCAATTGATTCCATCTGGTAAAATTTTTAGGTCTAACTTAAGTTCAGTACTGGTTGATGTAAGGGATAATAAACAGTTTTGTATTGTACACAGAAATAATCAAGTTTCAAGAGTATTTTTAAAATAAAACTTGAAGTATTTTATGTTAATTCATTAATTATTAAGTTAATGTTAACTATTATTAAGCACTTAATAACATAATAGTTAATGAATTGGCTAATCAGTTAATGGTAGTCTTTGGGAATAGGATAGTTAAAATATCTGTTTACTGGATTTTTTTGCACAGACTTTTTCCTCTGCATCATTCACACATCTTGGTGTTTCAACATGTCTTTGAAACATAACACTTATATTGGAGAAGCAGTAGTTTTAATTGAGTTGTATGTAACATTTTTTTCAATTTTTCTCTCCCTGGATTAATAAAAATATAATTGTCTATAAAATGAAAATCTGCCAAAATAAGATTATGGCTGGCATTATTGCATTCCATTTTAGACAGATTTTTACTTATTTTATTATTATATATTGTAATTAAATGTAACATTATATTCAAAATATGTTAATACATATTGTCTTAATAATCCAAATACTATTTTTTTTTAAATCTAAATATTTTATTAGTGATTTTTATTGTAATTTAAAAATCCAAACAAAAATTCAATTAATGTTTTAGAAATTTAATCATAATAAACTTTATAAAAATAAACTATGAAATAATGTAATCTGCTGAAAATAATTTGATTTTTATGTAGGTAAAAGCGACATGTGGTCATCCACGTCGAGCAACTAGAGAAGTCATAAGTGAATCAGTACTTGAAAGTCCAAAGAAAATAGTTGCAATAAGATCGACTGACACAAGTCTTTATATGAAAATACAGACATTTGTTCATAAATTAACTGAAACAAAAGGATATCATAATAATTTAGCAGATGCAATGTGTAATTATGATACTATGGTTGGGAAAAGTGGTGATACATGCTGGAATGGCAATAGTCTTGGAGAGTAAGTTATTTAGTTATATTTTTAGATTATATTATTACTTATATTAATATAGTTTGAATTTATAATTTTCCATTTTTAGATTTTTATGCATTTATAATGACTATTTTTAAATATATATATAACATAATATCATGCATCATTAATTGCTTACTAAAATAAATATTTAGCATAAATATTCAGTGGCATTACTTCTAAATCAAAAACAAATTTTTCAATAAAAGAAAAACTTAAACTTACATTGGTCAGTTAATTTAAGTTCAGTTTATTTTTAAAATGGATAAAATGTAAGTTGTTTTTTTTCCTTTTTAATTCAGTCTGGGAATATTTAAGTAATTCATCTACAGAAAATTAGCACCTATCAGTAGATTGAAGATAGGGTTGGGTGGTATTCTCCTGTTACATCATTCATTTTTTAACATTGCGTAATATGTTATCTGCCAAACCCATTTTCTAGAAATCTTTTCAAGAGTTCATTAGTTACACGGTTATTTTACACCTTTGGGAACCAGTTTTTTTAAACTACTTTTCCCTACTTACATATTTTTATGCATATTTATTCTAATTAAAATTGATATATTCGAAAGATTATTTGTGCTAATGAGTTAAATAGGTTGAAATTTATTTTTACTAAATAAAAAATAATTTAGATCTTAATTGTGATGACACTTAGCAATTGAGAGCAAGTATGAATTTAGTTAATATAATAATAAAAAAATTATAAATTCTTATAGAGACATTTTAAATTTAAGTGTCAAATCTTTATTAAAAATTACATAAATAATTAAACAGTTTTTCAGATTTTATTAATGCAATAGTAAAATATATCATTTTAGATATTCAAAGACTATTGCTGGAATTGGCATATTTGCCCAGAAGCATAATCCAGAGATCAAATTTTCATCAGCACAAGATGTAGTATTATCTACTTTAATAGATAAATTAAACCATATTAAACAGGTATTTTTTGCAATATAAATTTATATTATTATTTATTTGTATGTAATTTTAATTCCTTAATTTTAGAAGTTTACATACATAGCATAAAAGTGTGGTTGTGAATAGATAATTTTGTTATTAGTTGAGAATTTTCAAGATAAGTATTTACTAGTTCACAGAATAAAATATACATTGCAGAACATATTTTTTTTTCATTACAATAGAAAATATATATAATTAAAAACTATTAAAATAATCTATTTTAAAGCCTTCAGATTTACATTGAAAGTCTTGGCAAAAGCTTTTGATGAATTTAATTATAGTTAGAAGACAAATGATTTTTAAAACAGTCTTTTTACAAAATGAAATGTGGGCTGAAAAAGATTAATTGGAATCAATTTGCAACAAAAACAATTTTAAATATTTTGAACCTGTTCAGTCTTTCATATTAAAATCATTTAAATTTATTTTTGAAATTAAGTTATATTATGAAAGCTTATAAAATTAAAATTTTTTAGATAAATTGTAAATAATTTCATGTTAATCTGCAAGATCATTTTAAAATGATAATTTTAATATAATCCTTCTGTAAAATAGTTCAATTGTGTTTATTAAAAATGTTTGTATTGCATAAATAAAAATTAATTTTATATAATATAATTATTAAAACAAGATTTATTTATTTTTTTCTGTAATTTGACAATTATATAAACTTGCACAGAACTTGTTCAGTTTTTATTTCATTGTAAAATTTTTGAATTATTCCAGTTTACCTCTGTCTTTTACTCTCAGATTTCTGTGTATGTGCTGTCTACTAGGATCTTGTTTATTAATAGGACTTACTATACTGATGTAGTTTCTGATTAGGAAATAGGGGAGATCTTAGTCAAAAATCAAGTGAAAAGTCAAAAACTAAGATCTCCTCTATTTGCTGATCAGAAACTATACCAGTATAATAAGTCCTATTAATAAACAAGGTCCTAGTAGACAGCACATACACAGAAATCTATTCTAGTTCAGTTCATAATCAACTGATGATAAACTGGAATTGCTTGAAATAAAAAATGTCTAATGAAATAAAAACTGATTGTGTAAGTTATCCTACAATTTAATGACTAAAACTAGAAAAAAAAAACACTAAATGATTTACAACTTTAATAATTAATAATTTAGTTTACACAAATCAATCTCTACTTATACTAGTTATACTTTAATTGTAATACATTGTTATTATATTAGATAGGCGATTAATTTCCATCAAAATGTAAAAAGTAATAAACTAAAATCTTCTTAAAAGCAATTTTGTATATTTACATTAATCAGAAGTAATATGTAATGATTAAAGTACATAAATAAATAACGTTGCAAAGTTCATTTGAAGTATCAAAACAATTTTTTAAGATAATGGAGACAAATTGTTTATCTTAATGCATTGCAAAGTACATGTCATAATTTTTTATTGTGATACGGAACTCTTTGATATTGCTATCTATAAGAATATTTATATATAAATTAATTTTGAATGTGGATCTTGTTTATAAAATATATTAATCATTTCTTTGTTACACTTGTCATCATCTAACATTTAATTTACTACTTACAGTTGTTGAACAGCAAAATGACTTCTTTACCTCAATCAGATTCTTACACAATGGAAGGAAGTGGTAGTGGGAGATTATGGGGAAATAACATTGGAGACGACGAAGACTACCATGACGGCTCTGGTAGTGGAGATTATGAAGGTTGGTTTATTTATTTATTTATTTTTTTTCTGAAAGCATTAACTTTTGTGATTGACTTGTATTATTATTATGGTTAATTTTATCTAACTCAAATGCTAAATTAATTTTTTAACTTAAACTTTATCATTGACAGGATTGTAAGTATAAAATTGTTAATATTTTCTGCAACACTTTATGAAATTTTTAAAATATGTTTTTGTAAAGAATTTTTTTTAACAATAAAAAAAGCTAACCACCTTCCTTTTCTAGATGCACGCGAAAGTGACTTTGATTTTAATGGTGGGAATACCGACAAAGACAGTCGAAAAGATCAAGAGAGGAAAATGGAGCATGGTAAAAGTCATACTGGTGATGGTGGCGGAGCGTCGTCTTACTTTAATTTGTCCAGTGTGATGATGATACTCTTGATTGAATGTATTCTCCTTAAGTATGCAGCACCTCATTGACGTAAAGCCAATTTATAAAGCCATATAGGAGAGCTCAATTCCTACACTGATTGTACTGTTATTGTTTTGTAATGGTGCCAGGGTCCTTGACCATTTCTACAAAGAGCAACTGCTCTTCCTTTTGGCAGTTACAAATACTATAATAATTATTCTGCTAATACTACATTACTATTCAAATGCTTGTGTGGAATTTAGATGGGGAAATGTTGGCTTCGGAAGATATGCCAGAAGGAAAGGTAACAGTCATTTACAGGATTAGCAATTCATTTGTCACTCAATAGCAGAAAAAAGAAAAATAGATCTGCATTGTGTTATTTTCAAAAACAAAAAAAGGGGAAAAACTTTCGCAAGCAATATGTGTCCTGTTGCCATCATAATAGTGCTGAATGTTTGGTGGAAGATTCAAGTCACATATTTTATTTCTCTAACTAAATTGTTTATTTGTAACAAACATAGCAAATATTTTTTATTCTTTTGTCAATTTTTATCAATCCTTAGATGCAGGGTGACCAGATACCTATTTTCTAAAAATTATATACAAGCACTTAATTACATATTATGCATGTTATATTTCTAATGAGATTGTTTTAAATACTCATTTATTTGTATGATCATTAACCATTTAGATTATTTCATGTTTCAATTATACATGTAAAACTATCCAAATTTTTTAATGACCAAAAACTTTAATATTTTGATGTAAATTTGTATTTTCTATTAATTTATTATGTAATCACAACAAAAACATACACACACATTTCTAGTGTTTTCAGTAAAATTTAACATAACATTTATCTTAAAGATGATTTTGAATTTCCATCTGTTCTGACCTCATTCCATTTATTCTGTGATATAAATTTTTTTTGTTTTAAATCTTAAGACTTTCTTTTCAATTATACATTTGATGTATTTATGGAAGGTTATTACACAGAATAAAACAATAGAAATTTAATTTTATTATTTGTTAAATCGGCGCCGACTTTTTGTGTTTAACTTAATAATGTGTTTGCAAAATTGTTCCGAAACATTGTAAATAAAAGGCATTTAATTGCTTTTTTTAACAAATTTAAAATATTTTTTTTTATAAAACTGTAAAAAAAGAATGTAAATACATTTAATTGCAGTAAGATCATTTCACCAAATTTGACATGAATTATCAAAAAACAAAGGAAAAATGGGGTTCTGGTCACTCTACTTCTAATAAGATAAACTGTGATTTGAGTGTTTTTAAATTTAAACCTCTTAAATTATGGTGGAACCTTGATTATAACATAAATGCCGTTAGTTTGATGACTGCCGACACTTCAAATATAATTTTTTCCGAAAATAAATTTTCTCACTCGTTACCCATTAGCAACAACAAACGTTATATCATTTGGACAATTTATTTTTAAATTAACTGACATCCGAGGATTGAACTCCTCATTAAACTGGATAATCAGGGTTCTATTATATTTTCAATCAGTTGTCCACATTATCACTAAATGTCTTTGGCCACATTAACGATTAAAAAAAAGTAATGCCATTGTGTGATATCGTTGCATTTTCGATGAGTTAAATCCAAAATAGTCGTCTTCTATTTACTTTATCATTTGAGAAAAATGATTTAACATTTTTTTAATCTCTAAATTTAAATTTTATATATACCTTATATATAACTTTTTAAAATTATACATAATTTGGATATTTGTTTACTAATTAGATAAATTTTATTATTATATTAGCTATGGAATCACTATTTTTTTCCTTGAGAGTATACTTTCTAATCAAGGCAAAAAAAATTTTTTTTATCATGTATTTGCTTGTTAAACTCTCAAAAAAAAGGGCATAAAAATTCTTTCATTTGTTAATTTATGCATTCTTCTTAGTTTTTTAATTATTTAACAATATATATATACATACAACTTATGTGGTAACTAATTGTGATAGCTGGATATGCATGTAGACTGCGAGGCATTTGTCATACATTTAATGTATGAGGCAAGCACAAGTTGGTATTAACAAAATAAAAAAAAATCCTCTTCCCTTTCCTCCCATTTATAAAAATGTGATAGCTGTATAAAATGTGGAGAAAATAACAAAATAGCACTTAGAGTTGTTTACGTTACTTGGAATTAAAAAAATGATACCGCTATAGTTATGCATTAACCCATAAATATGAATTTTTAGAAGGCTCAAACTGTCCCAACTTCACAATGATTTTGAGGTGTAACGTTCCATTTACCGTTAGAATACTGTTTATATTCATTTCTATGGGATGTTAACGATCTTTCTGCAATATAACAAATTCCTGCAAGTCTGACTTCCAGCTAACTCTTCCAATAGAATGTCAAGTGCCATAAGGTATTCCTAGTTAGGTTTTGCAAGATTTTTTTCCTTTACCGAAGCTATTTATTTACAATGCAGAGGAAATTTTGTTTGATTTTATTGCTAGAATTTAATATTGTTTTTGTTCATTGTTTGTATTCTAATGTTACTTTAAAGGAAAAAGATTTCAAGTTCTGAGAATAAAGCCCAAGAGCTTCTTGATTTTTCCAATTTTTTTTTTCTGTATAATTGTTGATAATGTAACTGTATGTAAAGATGTACATAATATACAGTTGACAATGATAAACTTTATCTTTTAAAATTAAACACTTTTTTAGATTAAAAATAACATATTAAACAAAACTCAAATATTCTCTTTTTGTTTTAATATTTTTGTTTCCTATTTTCTTGTACAGTTTGTACATTATATGCAAGAAAGATACTAACGTAGTTCTGAATTAAATTTTCTTCAAACTGTGATTTTCAATGCAATCGAGTACATAATTCGACAAGGTGTACATGTTTTTCAAAATTGATATTTTATATATTTTGTCTGATAAAGAAGAAAAAATGAATACGTATTAAATAGTATTAGTTAAATGTTTTTTTCTTTTTGCTTTTCTGCCATTTCTTGCTCTCACGATTAATTTAGGCTTTGAAGTTTCTAACGACAATTCCCGATCTAACGAACAGACTGTGATCTTCCGTTTAGATTTGTTAGCATTAATTGTCGGTAGTGCACCAAATAATATGTGGCAGTCAACTCTTGATTATCTTGACATAGAAGCACGTTCTCTTTTCCTATCTCCAATCGTTAAGCTACAATTCCAAAGGTATTTTCTCGTCTTACTTGCGTAAATTGTATTTCCATTATCTTAAGTAATGGAGAGTTGACTGTGTAGCACGTTAAATCAGAAAATGTTTTTTTTCCCTGAGTTGTGTTAATGGTTCTCGTAAACGTTCGACGATATTCCTAAATAGTAAATTTAGATCTAGTTTTTATTTCATAAATTCCAAATTTATTAATAGTCTAATTAAAAATGTAAAATCTAAATTCTATTTTTGTGAATGGGGAAAAAAAATAATAATAATTTTAGCATTTAAAATTAACTCGCTCTCACCAGGAAAATTAACGTATCTAATTCGGATTGCAACAGTTGCTCACAATTATTTTTTCTGTAATTCGTAATTAAGAGTGCAGTTTCTGGTAGAGGTTATCTTTAGTATTTCGGTGTAATAGTTATTAATCTAAGGCAGCAGTTGTCACGCAGAACATATCATGACTCATTACTTGTTTTCTTTTTGTTTCCATATTCGTCCTATGAACCAAATATGCTGTGTGTATTCACGTATATGGTATTAGACTGACAACTAATAGTCTTTTATTCTTTCTGCTAATTTGGGTTATAAAGTTTTTAATTATTAAAAAAAAAAAAAAAAATGAGCTAGAGATTCCATTTTAAAAAAAATTTCTGCACAAATCTTAACTGATAATAGTTGATCAATTATATTAAAGAAATTTAAATATGTTTGTATATTATAGCTTATATATATGTGTATAGCCTATATATGCAATAGTGGCATTCTCTCTACCATCAAAATTTTCAGATTAATCAAATAGTTTTTTAACCATTTTATCTGTTTACTTAAGTCTTTATTTGCAATATTATTGTTCAGAATAAAAAAAAAAAAATACCTAACTATAGTCAGAATCTAGATGTTACTTTGTCATTTGGTGTATTTACAATTCAAACAAGAAATAAATGGCTTTTGTATAAAGGCTGGTGTTTTTAATGAATATTTTTCTAATGCATTGCAAAAGTTAGACAGGGACAGTTCAGTGGTGGTGCATTTTTTAACTTTCACAAGGAAGATGCTGAAGGTCTCTGAAGTGGGTTCGTAAAAACCGAAGCATTAAATAACGATCACGGAAGCCATCATCAGTAGAAGAAAACCAAAATAATTTCAGCTCTGTGTTACACATTTAATTTTGCAAGTTAAATGATGTAGATGAGTATTTAATGACAATGCTTATTGATTATGTAAAATTAAAACATTTGTTCTTTTGGATAATTACATGTAGTTTAATCATATTTAAAAGCTTTGGTAGTGTTTTTTAATGGTAATTTATTTAAATAATGTCTGTAAGATTTATTCTGCTTTAATCGTTTTTTTATTGTCTTAACAAATGCAATTACTAAAAAATATTTGGAATATCACATTCCATTTCTTGACAAGTTAAAAGATCTTTTAAAGCTTTGACACATCTTAATCAAATTAAAATTTCTAATTCAGTACAGATGTTAATAGGATGTGTACAAATCAACAAAACAATGTGAAAGTAATGCATTAACCTAAATTATTACCAGATGGTTCTATTACATTTCTTAAACAGGTCAAGTTTAGTATCCTATGTATGTTTTTATTATTATTTTTTAAACAGATAAACCAGTACACATTTTAACATCATATTTTATTTGATAATACAATATATACAGTACAAAATCTAAGTTTTTTTTAAACTTATCCTTGTAAACTTGGAACAATTTCTACGAGAATAATACACAAACGTGAAGACATAGCAAAGTATAAAAGACTATATAGTGAACGATGCTTTGGTATTCAATATGAACATTCATGTGTATACAAATCTATTGCTTTCAAAAAAGCCATACGAGAGCATTTGTCGTCGGACAAATTACACAAATTACGTACACTGTGGTGCGAGACGTCTCGAAATACCGTGTAACTTTCCTATTTTAGATCTCGATTATCAAAAACGTGCGTACAAAACAACTTTGACTCGAGCGAATAACTTTTTAGTCGGATACACATTAATAAGCTATCTACATTATAAAACATTTTGTGCAGTTGAAAAATATGAATAAACCTACAATTTGTATGCTCTACATTATGCAGACGGAGTAAAATTTTAAAAAATAATGCCCAATTTACATTTGCCGCATTCATACAATTTTGCAATTTTTCTTTGGAGATTTTTTTTTATTTCTGCTTGATGGCAAATTAAATGTCAGACAATGGCACACTCAGTTTGTAAATGTCTTAAATGAAAAACAATAAAAAAAAAAAATACCTGAGTAATTTCAATGCTAACAATTGTTAATAGAGAGATCAAATCACAACCTGGTAATTTTATAAAAAGCAACCATGTGTTAAATGTTTAAATTAGCATAAATGAAGCAGAAGACGGGCTTCTCTGAACCAGTAATGTTAATGCAAAAAAACAAAAAAAAAATTAACCCTCAACTTCAATGACAAATATATACTCCATGACTCATTCAGCTTAGAAATGCCAATGACTTACACTACATACTCATCATACTTGTTTAACTGGTTGTTGTATTTGGTAAAACTAATGAAATATTTTTCAAGACCAGTTTCTACAAATATAGTAAAACAATGCATTTCTTTATTTGAAACAGGTATAAATTTTTTTTTTTACTTATTAGATATCAAACTTTTGCATTGTAAGGCTGCTTAAAATTTACTTCCAGTGTAAAATAGAGGATCAAAAAATGTTTTTTAATTAAATTCTTGCACAAGATAAATTTGCAATAAATTTTGGTTGATCTCAATTATGCAACAATGCAAAATAACCAGAATTCTCTTCCGTTAAGAATAATCTTAGTCATTTGTCAGATTTTTAAAATTTTTGTTTTGAAAAAAGTTATATTTTGCATTCAGTAATTTGGTCTCAAATTCTCCAATTTAAATATATTTGACTTTTTCACAAATAAGTAAGGTATAAGTCATTCAAAAAAAAAATTGTCTTGTAAACAGATAAAAATGCAAATATTGCATAGTTTAAAAAAGATGTGACAAACAATGAACGGTTTGTATAAAATTTCTAACACGACAAATGTGAATTTTATATTATATAAATTTGAGTAAACGAGAATGCCTCGAACGTTGGTAGAAAAAATATATCTAAAATCAAGTTGATAAAGTAAATATTCTATACGATATGCCTGTAAGAAGCTTACGGTAAGGGAAATTTGATACGGAAGTTAAGTACTAGGGTTTAGGTTTACACACACTTACTATGAACGACAAGTATATTTGGCACAATTTTTGGATAAAGCTCTTGTCATTTAAAACTATTGAAATCAAATATAAAATTTATTCTTCACTCAATCCTTCTATGTAGAATTTATTTAACAGTGCTGAATCATTTCAGTATACAAATCTATCTTATTTTTTCTTTTGATAAATTTAATTGCTACCGTTATTGACTTTTAGTTTGAATTAATGAAAGTGTAGTATATGCATATTTATATAATTTCAGATGTTCTCTTTTCGTGTTTCTCCCACAATAATTAATAACTTTCTTTTTTTTTTTTAATTTGAACAGATACACATTAAATGAAAAAACAATACATTCATTTTTCCATATTTAAATATAGTCTTCATCTACGAGCAATTCTTATCCAATTTAATGATATGGATTGTTTATTAATTCGTGAATGTTACAAAAATATTCAATGTGGGATTATAGCATTTTGAATTAATGCTGTATACTTATCACAATCAGGAAGTGACTATGTAACTTAACACTATGAACAAATTTTTTTCTTAGAAAAACAGAGGTTTATCAATGAAATAAGATATTCCTGAGCATTTGGAATTAAGTAATTAACTTACTTTTTCCAATCTAAAGTTAGCTTTGTTAGAAGAGATCAAGTTAGAACTTAACCAGCAAATTTAAGCATCATGAATTTTAGTACAGCTACATTTAAGTGTAACTTATATCTTAAAATGAATTAACAACATTAACAATTCAGTCACTTTCAAACTACATTCCTCTGTGAGCATCTTATAAAGACTGTAAAATATCGTATCATTATAAAATTAACTATTCAAATCACAAATTCTTTAATATTAATGAAATAGCAAGTAGTCGGATACCTAACACTGATTATAAAAATTTTATTTATAACAACTATTTATAAATAATGAACTATAGAACAATTATAAAATCATATCATTCGACACATTCATTCAGCAGTTTAATATAGAAATATCCAAAATGGACAAAGTAAATATGCATATATTTTAAATTGTTTATGAACTGGAAGGAGTTTTAAAGTATTGAGTTATAGCCTCCTCGGATGTGAAAAGCCACACCATTTTTATTAATTTAGATGAATTAGTAGTACCATTTTTCATCAAAGCATTTCTAACAACACAGTTTTAAAATTGTTTTATAACATTATTGGGAAAATATGCTGGTTTTAAATGTTAGATTTTATTATTATAATTATGGGCATTAGAGATCATAATTATATTTTCATATTATCTGTTTTTAATAGTCTTTTATATGCAATTCGAAAATTTTACTTCATAATGCTGAAAATATTTACAATTTTTAGATTTATTAAATCATTCAAAATGGTTTCTGCAAGCCACAAACTAGCATTGTTTCTTTTTGGCTTAACTTTCAATCACTGTCTCCATACAATTCATCCTTTTAAAATATCAATCTCCATTGCTTATTTCTTTTATCATATTTATAGAAAGAAATGAAATGTATGGATATATTGATCAATTTCCCAATTAAAATACAGCAAGTCCTTGCTTAACATTGCAAATATACTTGTATGTTTCCTTGTCAATCATTAAAATTGATTCTATGAGGTGGAAAATAAATGCTGGAGATTGCAAACACATTTCAATTAGAATAATGTTAATGTTGTCGAAACCGTGTTGTATTTGCTTATTGTGTACAGGCACAATGAAGTGACGTTTTTTTCAACACTGGGCTAGTTGAATCTTTTTCAACACTGGGCTAGTTGAATCTTTTTCAACACTGGGCTAGTTTTTACATAGGAGAAACAAAAAGAACATTAAAAACACGTGTTAAAGAACACATATCCGATTTAAAATATAGTCGTCTGAACTCCGCTTTTTATGATCATTGTGTAATCAATAATTGTAGTATAAACCAATCTAATATACAAATTTTACATAAAGAAAAACGGATTTATGACAGAAAATTTAAAGAAAGTGTGGAAATATTACGAAACAAAAACCAAGGCTGTATAAATAAAAACTTAAGTGTTAAAATTCATGAAAATTGGTTAAAAATATTATAATGAAATGTACTAGATTAATACAATTTATAATAATAGAATGGTAAAAAAGAATTATTTAATGAAACAATGTTCTGTATTAACGTCATATGTAAATTAGATAATAAGAAAATATGCAGAGTAAACTTTAAGAGAAATAGTGATTTATTGTATAAAAAAATTAAAAATTTTTTTGTAATTTCCTTAGGGATTTTCAAATGTTTGTCGATTAATTTGTTAACTAGTATAACTTACGGCACATAGTGCTATATGCAAATTGTCGGATCAGTCGACGAGGTGGCAAAAAAAGACTTTTGAAATTTGTAAGTTTTAGTTTTTTAAAATCTGCAGAGTTTATCTTGTTTATGTGATAAAATGTAGAAAAGGTTTTGTTTTTAACCTGTATAGTTAAAATTGTGATAAAAAATTGATATTGAAAATGTTAAAAAAACCTAAGTGTAGTCTGATTTCTACTGTATGTGCAGTGTCCATGCTGAAATGAGGTATGGTTTACAAAGAATTTATGTGAGTTTTTTGGTTTTATTTGTGTCCTGTTAAATATTTTTATATATATTTAGTTAGCTGAAGAGGGGCTGATGCCCGAAACGTTGATGTATGGAAAAAACGTTCTAACTAAATAAAAGATTCAACTAGCCCAGTGTTGAAAAAAACGTCACTTCATTGTGCCTGTACACAATAGAATAATGTTAACCAAATTATATCTTATTTATATTATTAAGCCTGTGGTAAAATTGGTTTTGCCTAACATTGCAGTTTCCAAGAACCTATTGGGGTGACACTAAGTGGAGACCTGCTGTATATATACATTTCCATATCAATATAGCAGATATTTTTATGCTTTGGTTAACAGAATCTGTATTTAATATTAATTTTTTTTCTTGAATTTTTCATTAATGGTACGGCTTTTAATATCTAAGGAGGTTACGATTGAGCCATCATGTAAATTTCCAGTCATTATACCACGTAAAAAATATTTATAAGTTACATTTGGAGAAATCGTTGCTAGTAAATTTTCATGTATATAAAAATTGCATTTTCTTATCTATATAAATAGGCTAAATTTTGAATTATAACAAATACAGCATTAATTAGATCATTTTTAAAATTTCAGGATTACACTTAAAATAAATCTTTATGTTAAAACAGTTATTAAAAATACATAGTTTTTTAAAAAGTGGTAAATAATATAAATTCAGAGATTACAGAACATTTTTACTTATATATCAATGTAATTAAAATGTGTATAAAATTAATTATAATCATCTATCACAGGTAATCTGTCAAAATTAGAATAAATTTTTAAAGTCAGTTTAACAGATAATGTATTTATTCTGATTGAGTAAATATAATTATGATTTTAAAATGAAATTCATGTTGTAACTATAAAGACTCTCTGGTTTTTGGATGATGACAAACAAATGTCTGATTTGCCAGTTTCTTGTAAATTGTTCTGTATATCATCTAAATTTTTTTAACTACATGTTTCTAAAGTAATAAACTAAGTTGTCTTTTGATCTCATTCCACATTTGATTATTCTAACCAAATCCTAAGAAATATCTAATAAAAAAATTAATGAAATAAGAGAAATTACATGGCATTATCCTATACATAATGAATGCTTAATTATAAAATCATTCATACAAAATAAAAAAATACATAAAAAGGTCATTATTTCATTTTACAAAATGTTGATTTTATGTAAAATTTATCAGAGTGATGCAGAGTAAAGTTAAAAAGATTTATCTTAAAATAAATTTGAATGATAATTTAAAGGTATCTAATAACTAGCAATCATTTCTTTTCTAGACCAAAATTAATCATGCAACATATTGATATCAAGTTAAAAATAACAGTTTTATTTAAGTGTTTCATATGCAATATTTTTTTTGTTAATGTCAACGACAATCAAGAACAAGAAATATCAAACCAATTTTTAACTCTTGAAATTATATATAAGAAAACAAGCTTTAAACTTAACAAATAACTTAACACTATAAAGTTATAGATAACAAGAAACTATAAAAGTTGTTTTAGAAAAAAGTCGACTCTAATATAAATAATGGATGATTCTAACATCAATATGAGAACAATTTCAAACAAACATAACAATTAACAAATATTTAAGATTTCTATTGTTGCATTTACATCAGACAAAAATAAAACTATAAAATACAAAATGAAATCAGTCATTGTTTAAAACATTAATTTTATATTTATACTCGATAATATAAATATCGAAAGTCAAGTTTAAGTTTATTTTGAGTTGTTCTTTCTGAAATTACAAAATTTGTCTATTAAATTACATTAATTTAGAAATTCATTATTGAAAAATTACCGATTTACAATGCTTATATTTGATAGAAATTCATTTTTTCTCTAATAATAGAAATGAAAATATTATCAGTTTTAAAATTGGTCTAGTTAGTCTATAATTATCAAGTGCAAGTCAGAATCAATACCATTTTCCATTGATATATATATATCAATGGATATATATATATAAGTACTTTTATGAAATTTATAAGTGTATTTAAATAGATACATAAATCCAGTAAACAGATTATTCTAACTGGAAAAGATTAATTTTAAAGAAGTATGAAGTATTACCTTGAATTTTCTATGAATTTTCTATGTATATTAAAATATTCTCTCAATATAAGATAAACCTATAAAACTTTAATCTGCAACACTATAATATTTGGTGACATGGCTTTAACTATTTGCAATATTTTAATATCAAGGTTATTGTCATTTTTTTCATTAATATCATTAAAGTATTTCTTATTTATAATAATTTATATACTATTATCTACGTGCATTAAATCTTCAGACTTAATGTTTCATAAATTTGGATGTTTTTCACAAATTTTATAGATCTCGACATTATTAAATAGCTTTCGAAACTATCACAAAGAACAGATACGAATGCATTACAATAGAAATTTGGTTATAAGAATAATTAGTTTTCTATTATATTTCAGAAACTCATTAAATTATGAAATTTTATCTATTGGCACTGGTATTGCTCACTATTGATTAATATTTACAAGATACTTCTGATATTTTTAAGACAACATTAACATGTTTTTTTCCCATATAACTTAGACTAAAAATATTTCATAAGACTAATCATTTAACAACTACAGTAGAGCATCGATTATCCGACTCAATTGGGGACTCAGATTGGTCGGATAGCTGAAAAAATCGGATAATCGAAAAGGAGAAAATACATTATTAGTATAGTATATTAGGATATTAGTATATCCCATGTAATTAGTTTATTAGTATATCGCTATTAACCAACTTTGCGTTGAATTTTCATCAATGTTTAGCCTAACAATGTTTTTTTTTAAATAATTATTGTCACTACTGTATCGTTAAAAATTATTTTTANTCGCTATTAACCAACTTTGCATTGAATTTTCATCAATGTTTAGCCTAATAATGTTTTTTTTTAAATAATTATTGTCACTACTGTATCGTTAAAAATTATTTTTAAATTATTTTATTGCTCACGAAACAAACAATCACTCATAATTAGAAAATTAAGTCTCGTTTAAATATTGGCCTTCCTTCAATGGTCGAGCTGTTGATGCCATCTAAAACACGCAAAAATTTAACAAAAATAATATTAAAGTAGCCAAAACATAGCCGAATATTGTAATGCCACATCACTAGCAGACATTTGAAATTTTCCAACTGGAACGGTCGGTTAATCGATGTGACGGTTAATCGGGGGTCGGATAATCGATGCTCTACTGTATAGATTTAGATTATGATGATAAAAATAAGCGAAACATAGCTTTTGTGATGTCACAATTTCTAAGTTTTAAACAGATCTAATAAAAAAACATAACACATTGAATTTTTATTTGCTACTTAGCAAGGTAAGTGAAATGGCTAGTTAGATTGCTGTTTCATAGAATATTTTTATTACTGTTTGCTTATGCAGCATTTCTACAAAATCTGTCATAATCATTGCCGAATGAAACATACATTTATAATATAGCATGCAATATTATTGATGTCAATGAATAGTATTTAATAATAAAATGAAAATATGCATTAGTCTATAAATGGCCTTCTGAATACATAAAACCACCCAGAAATTGCTTTATGTTTTGATATGATTGGCCACAAAAATTAAAGTTGCAAGCCATTCTCACATTTAAATTTATATTTTAAGAAATTTTAATAACTTTTTATTCAAATGAGACTAAATAAAACTATCTTATGAATGTTTAGTAATCATGAAATTAAAGTTTTTAATATGAAGTCACATATTTTGTAAAATTTTATACAAAATTATTTGAAATGATTATGACACACCTGCTTCATGCATTTATTACATCATTTTCAAAATATAAAAAAACACCATTTAAATATTTTATCTAATAGAAAGTTATTCAAATAGGTGCATATATTATGTTTGTAATCTATTAGAGTTTTGTTAATGATCATTTGTGATAGAACCAACTGAAGAACTATATTCACAGTTTCTCTTGACCAAAGATAATTCATGAAAGAATTATGCAGATTACAAATACATTCATTCATTCATCACTCCAGAATTAATAATTTGCACATAACTACCAATCAGGGTAAACATTTTTGAACCTTAATGAATTATAATAGAATTTCTAATAAAACTGTTTTTGTTTTTCCACTAAACAGATAATAGGAAATAATATTCACATTAAAAAATTAAAATTAAGCAAATTAAAAATTTAGAATATCTGTAATGTTATGCATAGCCTATTTTTGTCATCACATTTTAAAATATAGCTATCAAATAACTAAGTTTTTGTAATATTAAAATTATATAAAACAACTGGTTAATTTTTCTATTAATAATTTGTGTAGGAATCAGTAGATATAATAGTTTATAAATTAACTATATTTGCAGTAATTTTTGGAATAGTAATAACTATATTTATTAATTACATAATCTAATAAAACCAAAGCCACAAACTTTCTGTAGACATTTAACTAGTTATTAAATGTATTTATTTTCATGCTTATATACAATACACCTGTTCATTTTTTTCTATTCTTCAAATAAATTTTAAGTTTAATGTATTAAGCATCTATAAATAAAATTTATAATATTTATAGTCAATTTTGAATTGAACATTAAATATTTATGTTTGAAAGTTTTATTGAATCTACATGTTTAAAAATATTACAGTTCAATAAACAATCAAACTTTGGGAAAATTATTGTGGATTTGGTTTTATGCATTTAATTTATTTAAAATTTTAAAAATAATTAAAAACTTGCTAGTAAATTATCTTTACTATACTGCATATAAATTAATTTTTACTGTATCCCCCAAAATATTTTAATCACCTGACAAAGCTATTAAAACTATTTCTTGACAAAGTTTATAAAAATTAAAAGTGAAAATATTTTTAACAAAATTAATTTAAGATATATAAATATATATATATAATTAATAAAATAGTATAAAAAATGAATAGCTTATTAAAAATTTTAATAGTGGTATTAAAAAATAGGAATGTTTTCAAAATATATTTATAGTAAAGAGGTTTTTGGTAATCACAAAATCAGTAATGGGTAATCTGTCATTGTAACATCCTAATAACTTCCACTTGATAAAATTTTATATTTAATTACTTTTGCATTTAAATTATTTGATAACTGACTGGTTTTATAAAGTTGAGAGAAATCCATTATGTGCATTCTTGGGAATGACAGATCACATTTTGTACAGTGTCTGGACCAATTTTTTTTAAGTAAAATTTTATAATTCTGAAATTTTAATGAAGACATTACAATATTGATTTTAAAAAATCACTTAGTTACACCTAATGTTTCAAAATAATGCTTAAAACTTAGTTTCAAAATAATGCTAGAAGAATTTAAAGTAGAATGTTTCATAATGCTGTGTCAGCTACTTTAGGTTTCTCGCCATCAGTTCCAGGTTGGATTTCTGTTAGAATAACAACTTCATAAGGAGAGCAATCTTCTAAACAAAGTATGCAACAAATCCAACCATAGAATCCTTTTTCCCAATCTTGCACTTCCCTTCTCCATTTATCAAAATGCCAAGATATTTGCACAAAAGCTGCATAAACTCCTAAACCTAAAGTAGATATTATAATAAGAAAAGGATAGAAGATAATAAGCAATGGACTGAGAAATATTTTGTGTGCTAGTGTTCTTTTTTCACTAAAATACACCAACATGTTATACCACGTCATGGTACCAACATAAAATGAATAACAACCTGAGAGAACAAAAATGGCTGGAACTAAAATAAGAGAAAAAACAGTGATATGAGGTCCTTTTTGAAGGCCAAAAAAACAATCTGTCTCTTCTTCTTTCTGATGAGATATTATACTATGTTCTAATTCATCTAATTCTTCCTTTGAAATGTGAACTTTCATGTCCATTGTTTGGCCTTTCTTCTTTCCTCTTTTTATAGTGCCAGTCATTGTTACGTAACTAAGTCCATTTGGCCGTGAACCGTAAGGTCTCTTATTCAATGCAGACCTTTCTGTTGTAAGATCATCACCTTGTCCTCCTTCACTGATATGTATGCTATCATCACTAGAACCAATATTTTGTTGTGCTTTCTCTTCATGTATAGGGGATACCTGGTCATGTATAGGGGATACCTTCTGAAAAGGTTTGTTACCATGTGGTGAAGGATGTTTTCTTGTATGGTGTGGAACAGAATGTGATGTATAATTATGTTCTGATAGATTGTCATTTGAATGGTGCAATCTTCTACTTACTTTATGATCTATTTTTGCATTTTGTGGATTTGGTGATGGAACAGGAGTTTCAATAGAAATGAAGATATTATCATTACTTGATTTTAAAGATGATCTACTTCCCCTTTTACGCGGTGGTACAAATGCAAATGGCTTCTCAATCATTTCCATTTGTGATACAAATCAAAAGCACTATAAAAAGATTTAAGCAAAATTTATAATTATAATGTGACAAAAACTTTAAATAAATATAACAAATCCAATAAATTTATTAATTTATATACTAAAAAGTTATCAATTGGAAAACAAAGAATAAAGTTGTTTTTATTCAGAAGCATGTATATAATTTGCTACAAAATAAAATGTATGACATTAAAATTATAATAACTAAGAATTCATCAATTCACTCTTTTTAATGTAAATCAAGGGTCTCCAAACAAGGGTATTTGGATATCCCCTTCTTTTAACAGCTGCAAAGATTAGTTAGCCTGAAGATGCTCATTTAACATTGTTGAAAACATTCACTTTCTCATAATTTTTGTGTTAAAAATTGGTTTTGTTTGCCTTGTTTATAAAACAAATTCATGAAATAATATTCATAAGAAATATAAAGTTATATGATAAATTTAATTGAATGGCTATACTTAATATTTAAAACATAGATTATTAACATCATAAAGATGTTGACATCTGAAATCTCACAAAATAGTTCAAAAATTGTAGCTCTCACCATTAAAACTGTTTTATTTTTTCTATTTTTCTTCTGTGTTTTTAATGTAATTTATTTAATGTAATGTATTTGGATCAATCATATATTCCTATTTTTCATTTCTATTATAATAATAATGAAATAATTTAGCATCAATCAAAACTAAATGTAATTCTAGAACATAAATGAAATGTAAAAACATAAGAGATGTAAAATTTTCATATTAAAAGATAACATAAATGAATAATAAATAATTAATATAACTATATCTTCTATTCTGATGTTTTATTTTAATCAAAATAAAATTTTTCACTATTTTTGATTCAATCTTCAAACTAATTTATACAAATTCTATGGTATTTTCTTCATTTATAATCATTATCTTCTAGATGATTCAATGATTCTCTTCTCAGCAGTTAGAAAATATTTTTTCTACAAGAAGTTTAGAATTTCTTGTTGTTTAATTCCTAACTAATTAATTCTCTCCTATAATTAATTATTAGAATGATGATAATTTAAAACATTATTTTACTTGCTTCGGGATGTACAGTACATGTTTTCTTTTATTTCTGATTAGCTTTATTTCATTTCATGTTATTTTTTTTGAATGAAATCTTAAACTATATCATCATAAATAATAAAAAAGTATTAGTCATTTCATCTGTTAATTTTTTTCATCTATAAATAACATCCCATATCATTTGAAATGAACTGAAAATTAAGGAAAAATTTAAGCTGCTTATAGAAACTTTTATTTTTTAATATCATTCAAGATTTAAAAATTTTATCATCTGTATAGGAACATTTTTTTAATATTTAAAAAATTTTAAATAGAAATAAATTCTAAAACAAAATTAATGTAATAAAAGTAAATTACACAAATAAGTAGCATTTAGCTAAAAGGGAGGATATACTATGGTAGATTTTTCTACTGTTTATGCAATCATAATTTTTAAATTCAAACTGTGAGTTCTGAAAGTATGGACACAAAAATAAATAATAAAATCTATAATAAATAATTCACAAATAAATAATGATTTAAACTTATAGAAAGATTTGGAGGAAGGAATAAAAAAGTATATATTGAATGAATAAATTTGTTTGTAAGTTGTTTTTAGTTTACAAAGTTTAACATTTCTTGTATTGTTTTGGACATAATAAATTTTATCTTGTGTTGAAATTCTGATTCAGCTGAATTGTAAAACAAAAAAAGGCTAAACTGCAGAAAAAAATGTAGTGGATCACTTCATTTAAACACAATTGTAAATCTTGAAATCCATGAAAATGATGGTATTATTCTCATTATTAATAATGACATTCCTAAGACAGAGAAAAGAATGATAGAGAAGAAAGACCATCATTTATAAGGAGTGCTGCCTAATTTGTTAAGAATGAACAGCAATAAAATATTATAATTATGGAATATCAATAAGGTTTACAATCATCTATCTAATATTGTCACTCATTATTTAGAGATAAAAGTATAAACAAGAATCAAAAATGGAAAACTTTGACACAGAAGAAACAACTAGTGAGTTTATTATTATTGTGAAAATATTAGATACATTTGCTAGATATTAATATTCAAATGCAAGAATTTTTTTATGAATTGTGGGAAACTGTGTAATAAGGAAACTGTTTATAAAAGAAAACAGAAGAATTAACAGGAAAGTGCTTACATTAGTGTGTAAGCAACAAATACAAATTTAGACTTTTCCAACAACAACATGCTTGTTATTTTTGACTTTTGCTTAAACTTTTATTTCAGAATAGTGAGCAAAAATTAGACAAAATTATGATAAATCTTATTAATACATTAGGATTACAATATTTTATTTTAATTCATTCTTAAAAAATTGAAAGACACTATGCCAGATGATAGATTAATATAAATGTTTTTAATTTCAGAAGAACATGTTAATATTATTGACAATAAGACAATAACTCAACAGATTTTATTGATATTTTCTTTCCATGAAAAGAGAAAATATATTCAAAATTTCAATAATATGAAAAATAAGTCAAGCAATATGAATTTAATTTCTATATCATGCTATCTGCACAAAGTGACTGGCTGACATCCAATACTGAATGAAAAAGTGTAAAGCATGCATTACAGGAAAAGCAAAAAAAAAAAAATTTAAAAAAAAGATTAACTCTTTTCTTATGCTTGTTAAATAGAGTAATAGATAACTGTGTCTTTAAATATGTTAATTTTGTCATAAAATAAAATAAACAATGTATAAGTTTTAGATGTATAAATTTCTATTGAATTCTATCATCTTTAAACTTGTTCAAATAAAGAGCCTTATAAGTTTATTTTATTTTATCTTCATAAAAAGATTAAGGAACAAATATTTAAGAAGACATGCTTTATTTAACAAAACATTCTATTAAAAAAAAACACAAGTTCTTTAAATTACAGAGAATTTCTTTAGAGAAATCAAAAAATTTAATTTTAGATTAAGTGATTTCAGAATCTAATGCAAGAACATTCCAGATTTAATATTAATTTTAAAGTTTAAATGATTTTCTAAACTTCTAAAAGTTAAATTTTGCTTTTTAATTTTTGTTTATTGTTTATTACCCCTGTAACACTGTCGATAATTCCGTTTTATATGAATTCCATGTTGTATGAGTCACTTATATTTTACAAATACATGTACCGGACTGTGAATGGCTCGCGTATTTGTAAAATCTAAGTGACTTCTACAACATGGAATTCATATAAAACAGAATTATCAACAGTGTTATGGGGGGTCGACTTTATATGTTTTATTAATGCTAAGAATCTTGCCTATAAAAAATATTTAATAATAAAATGTTAAAAATAGTATAATCTCTCATTAATAACTCTTACATAATAATTTTGAAAAAAGAAACTGCAAATTTGTTAAGACTAACAATATTCTAATCACAAATTATTTCAATTTTAGCATTTGTATTAAGTATGTGATTTGTGATAATGAAATTAAATAAATATGACAGCATTTAATCTTAAATAAATCTCACAATTTCTTTAAAGAAAGTCAGTTGTTTACTTTTCCTATAGAAATGTACAATATAATCGAGAAAAATTTTATACACTTATCACTAAATTTTGACTTTATAAAGATCAATTTATGCATAAATTAAATTTAAACATTTCAAATGACACTTTTCTTTTAAGAAATGAAAAATTTTTTCTGTCTAAGTACAAAAATATCATCGGTATAAGCCAGGGGTGGCCAACAGTTTATGCCCCTGGACCAAATTGGAAAAAGAATTTTTTCCACGGGCCAAACCAGAGGCTGCCCTAGAAAGATTTTGAGGTGATGAGAGATCTCATTGTGGTGTCAGCCTGTAGACACTAAATTGTACATAGAGATTACAGATACATTTTTCACATTATCATGCTTTACCAACATTCTACGCTGGAATTTGTAATGGAGGTTAACTCTAAACGTACAGTGAGTTGTTGACCTTTTCGTTTTATTTTTAAGCGTCAGAATTTTTCATAGAGCTATTCGGATTTCAGTAGCTAATATTGAAAGATTGATCACAAGCCACATAAATTCATTAGACAGGCCGGATCTGGCCCACGGGCTGTATGTTGGCCATGCCTGGTATAAGCAAAAAAGCCGTTATATTCATTTCTAAGCAAATTAATATTTTAATACTACTATGTTATTTTTGCACAAAGATGCATTCATTCTATGTTTGTGATTAAATCATAATATATAATAACTATACTTAAGCGTTGTGGCATTACCAATATCAACTTTTAGCGTATGAAAATGTTCGCTAGTACTTTCAGTAGCATAAAGTTACCATCATCAGGCAAATATCGAATACAACAGCTATCGAATTTTACATTTTCGAACAATATTTGAAATTAAATATAACATGTGAATGGAATATAAAATGAATTTGAATAAAAACAATGTTCTAAAAATATAAGGTAATAACAAGTGGTGTAATTTCCCAAGATTACATAGCGCGCAATAGCAAAACCAAACCTGTTTATGCAAAAAAAGGAATTAAAACTGTTGACTGAATTGTTTGAATAATTTAACCCATAATTGTGGGATTTCAAGAACTCGGATGTTGCAGGGTGTTATAGCTGTTTTGTAGAGGCTCTCCCAAATAAATAATTCTTTCCGATTATTGCACCATTTGAGTAATTTTGTTTGGGCCCAGAGTGACTAATAAAGCATGACAGTCAAGCACTTTTTTGCTAATTCCATTGATGCTCTACTGTTTCTGATGCAGTGGCGTAGCGTGGGTGTCAGCTGCCTAGGGCGGAGGAAAATTTCGCTACTCCTTTATTTAGGTATCTCAATTTAAAAGACTAAAATTCAGTTTTGTCACAGAATAAGTAATGAAAAATTCCATGCTCATTTCAATCGGTCAGAATCGTAGGTGTGACAAAAATATGAAATGAAATGGTTCATATTTTTACAAGATATTATTATTATTTATTGTGAAATTTTGTTACCCCCTAAAAGTGCTGCCCAGGAAGGTCGCCCCTGCCGCCCCACTATGCTACGCCACTATTCTGATGTCTTCCTGATGTTCTAAGATGTGAGAATATAACATTCTGGCTGTGGCCCCTTGTAGCTAGTTTTTTCTCCTGACAGAGCATGTTTTGGTGGAATTTGATAGATCCTAGATTTTTGATTCAATTGAAATATATCTCTGTCATTGCATAACAGTCTTCTTGGGGTCAGTTGTGGGGTTATCGGTAAAACTAAGCCTATCTTTCTAAAAAGATGTACTATTTTTAGAGAGATAGGGCCTAAATATGGTATTGGAGGATGTGCTATTTTTAGATTCTCTTTGTTACTAAGAAATGACAGCGGAAATAGCTTATTTTTGATTCAATTCTGAAAATAATGAAATTTAGAGAGAGAATATCCAGCTTTTTGCATTGATCTTTTAATGATTAGTAATTCTTTATCTAATAGTGCTTGGGTGGAAGAGAGAAGGAATGCCTCCGTATAAGGGAAGATATAGCAGAATTCACAAAGTTTAATGGTTGTAAGGCTGTAGCGGGGATAATTTGTGGTGCTTTGTTGTTTCTATGATGGACAGAAAATAAAAGATCAGGAGACATATGAATTTATAGATCTAAGAATGAGATTCTGGCATTTTGTTCTTCCTCTACAGTGAACATGATCGAAGGATAAACAGAGGTCAACAATTGAATAAATTGCTCTAAGTCTTCAATAGAACCTTCCAACGCAATTAGCACATCATCAACATATTGTAGATACATAATTGGATATTGGATGGTCAAGGGAGCATTGAAAATACAATGTTCTATGTTCCTCATAATAAGCTCTGCCGAAATAGATGATAATGGGGAACCCATAGGTACTCCCTGTGTCTGTTTTATATATTTTTCCATTGAATTGAAAGTAATTATTTTCAGTAATGAGAAAGAGAGCTTCATGCAAATGTAAAACATATGATGTTGTCGTTTTAGTCAAGTTCCTGAGTATTAGTTTTAGTAAATGAAAACTATGCTAATCAACATTGGATTTCATGTTCACATGCAGTCATAATCAGCATCGGAAATGCAACATTTCTTGAAAGAATAATGAACAACTTTTTCTGGAATTTTCATCCAAGTACTTACAATGTTTCCATAATAGACTTAACAAGATTGAGCTATGTTGATCTCTTAAATATTTTCTATTATAAAATATTGGTCTAGTAAATCATTAAAATGATAGTACAGAATTACCAACAAAGAAATAAGATATGTCACTAATTATGATACATTGCATTGAATTTAAGATGCAGCCTATTTTCAGATATACTAAAAATCTAAAAAAATACATCCTACATTCGAGTAAATACAATAAATTTTATGTTATGTATAAAATAATTTCAATTTTAAGTATAAATATCATAAAACACATATTGTTCATGATTAATTTCATATTATATAATAGTAAACAGCTAAATAGCATTAAAAATGTTTGTAACAACCTTATGCTTGCTGAGAAATATTTATCATCACAAATGTTTTCAACCTAAATTCTATAGGTTATCATCAGATGTCTTCTGATGATGATCTATTTGTGATTCAGCTACCTGAAAATGAAGTTTGGATTTCTATTTTTATAGTATGGTGTTAAGATTTAATCAATTCAAAGATAAGTCTTTTAATTAATTGTTTATAAAACATTTTAAATGTATTTTTATGATTTTAAACTTCTACTGATCAAATACATTGAAAAAATAAATAATTATGCTTACCTAAAAAATATTTTTTGTTGTAATCCTTGCTTAGAAAGAGGAAATAAGAGCAATTTTTAAAGATTAAGAATTTATGTTGTCCACTGCCTGAAAAGACATTACATTTACAAGATACTTTTAAAATGATTAAAAGTAAAAAAATAAAAATGCATAAAGTACTATTTTATTGAACAATTCAACTAAAACACTATAAATTAACAACAACTGAGTACTTTCAAGTCTCTCAGTTCATCATCAGGATATTAGCTTATAATGATGCTTATTAAATAATAAGCATTATTATTTAAAACAATTCCAAGGCAAAAACTCAAATGACAAAGGCCAACAAGCCAAAAGTCCGAAGACAGAACTGCAACACACAAAAGCTCATGAAGACAAAAGTCTATTATATATATATGTATATATAAAAGCCCAAGCATGTAAAATGTTATTAGACAAAACATATGTCTGCATCATTATTAATATAATAATTGTTTTATAATTTTGTAATCATATTTTATATTTAAATAAATAAATAAATAAATAAATAAAAATTTAAATTTGTCAAAGTAGCATGTATATTTTTACATTTATACAGATTTGAAATATGTAATAAAGATTATTACTAACCAACTTACCTGAGATAGAGAATACAGGGACACAAGAGAATTTTGCTAATATACAAATAATCTATTAACAAAAATAATGTTTATTTAAAATTTACAAGATGCCATCCATTAATTACAAGTACATTATTAACAAGAGGTGGTCACGAAAAGATCATCATTGTATACAAGAGTGAAAAAAGGAGGTTCTAGACATTGTCAGTTTGGACTTTGTTTTAGTGGTACTAGTAACATATATATTTGTTGGTTATAATTAAAATATGGCCAATAGTATTTACATAAAAATATATTGAAGATACAAAATGTCTTCATCATTCTGCTGTTTATAATCATCAGTGACAATCCAAAAGTATCATCCAGCAAAAATGCCATAATTCCATAGTTCACAACAATCATTGATTAAAATTACCATTGATCCTTTTTTAATTTTAATCAATGATGGTTGTGAATTATGGTATTGTTACCAGAGGATATTTTTAACCATTTTATATTTTTTACAGACATATAGCCTCAAATAAAATGATGTTTCTGTAAGTAAAAACTGTTTTTGGATTGTCACTGTTGATTGTAAACAATAGAATAATGAAGACATTTTTGTATCTTCAATATATTTTTACATTTATTTGTTCTTAAATGCCTATTTACTAGTCAGCCGAAAAATAAACTATCAGTTAAAAAAGTTCTGCAAATATTTTTTATTTATTTTTTTAAATTTCTTCAATGTCAACAAGGTTCCATGACCTATTGTACAGAGTATGCTTAGATTTACGCTTTAACATTTTTCAAAATTTAACCTCTGTCTCATCTTTAAAATTCATGTGGCATGCATCATATATCATATCATGGATATAGAACCACAAGCAGCTAACTAAATTTTGCAATTTTTCAGTAATAGAGTGTTCCTATTAGGGCATGTCCAACATTTGCTATTTGCCAAATGCCAAGCAAACATTTGGCAGATACCAAGCAGCATGGATGGTTTACTCATGATGAATGTTCGGTATTCATTTTTGATTCTTATTGGTAAATTGTGCCAAATCAAAGGAGACAAATGTTTGCCCCAACACGTTTGTGTATTTTCTTGTTTTTGGTCATTAGTATTGCTATTTTAGTCTTTTTTTAAACTAGATCTAGTCTTTTATTTCTGAATTTAGTTTATTTTTTTGATTTGGTTTAATTAAATATTCATTTTATTTTTTTCTATATAGACTTATTGTGTTTTTTTTTTAAATTGCTTTCTTTTTCATGTTTACATTTTTCTTATTTATTATTATTATTTTATTACGCATACTGGATACACTCCTTGATGTGGGAAGCAAAACCATCTCCCAAAGAACAACACAGACACAATGAACATAAGATCACAAACAGATTATACAATAATAAATTAAATAAATAACAATTCAGATATAAATTAAAGATTTAAAAATCAAATGTAATAATTAGTTAAAGTTAAAGTTTGGGAGCATCTGTCAATAAAATTCAAAAAACCAATAAATAAAAATAAAACAATCAAAAATAAGCAAATTTCTTACCTATAAAAAAGAAATAAGTTAATAACAAAGATACAGCACTGGCAGATGCTCCCAAACAACACCAGCAACAAGGCTAAATTTATAGTAGAGGAATCACACCCCCTAAAACAAAAGATCAACAGATTTTCTTAGAAAACAAAACACTTTAAATTGATAACATGGTACCGATATAATTTTAAGAAATAAAGACCTGGTAAGAACTTCACAACTGAAAATTTCTGCACGTAGCACTTTAAGACGCCCACATTTAGCCAAAATATGCCAGGCATCCACAATTTCTTTCTCAACACAAAAGTCAACACGATTCTCTCAAATGATTATTTAAAAAATTTAATGAATTACACCTAGCCTGTATAAATAAAGACAAAATATTAAGGGAAACATCTTGATTATATAAAGAATTATCAAAAAAAGTGACATTTAAATCCTCATACCAACAATTATATACGCTATTATTTATTTTTTCATTAATATTATATAAAAAATTATCAAAAATGTTAACAAGGAGAAGAGACCAGTCCATTAAATTCAAATCATCATTAATAAGATTAATACCATGATTATTACAAGTATCAATAAAATAACGTGTCCAGTCAATAGACTTTTTACCAAGTATAAATTTCAAGCAAACCTTACTCAGACGATAGTCATCAAGATTAGAAATTCTAGTAATCCAATTTCTTATCCTACTAAATATTATAAATTTTATAGGAGTCAAGGCACATTCCATCATAATTAAATACCCTGGTGTACAATGTAGTAAATAAAATAAGTTTTTAATGAATTCAGTCTGTATACCATCGCCATTGGATAAGTTAAAACCCCAAATCTCTGAAGCACATAACAAAGAGGGCAACACCACAGTTTTCAATAAACATAAATAATCAGTCAGATTACGTAATTTGGCAGACCTCCCTAACTGAATAATTTTATTCATTAATAATCTAGTATGAGTTCTCTTATTAATGTAATGCATACGGAATAAACCATTAGACGAAAATGTAACACCCAAATATTTATAATTAGAGACAACTTGAATTGGAGAACCCTTAAACCACCATTTATCTGCCCTCGCATTCTTACCTCCTCTTCAAAAAACAACAATCTTACTGTTAGATTTATTCAGATTCAATTTCAAACCATTTTCATCTAAATAAACTGCCAATTTATCAATCAATCTTTGAAGTCCAACCACAGAATCAGATAAAATTACAATATCATCTGCGTAAGCCAATATTTTAATCCGAAAACCACTTATTTCTATACCATCCTCAGAAGAATTAATAATGCCAAAGAGATCGTTCAAAAAAATACTAAACAAAATTGGGCTCAAAATACAGCCCTACTTAACACCAGTCTTAGAGAGCATTAACAGCAAACAGTTACTTCCAACTCTTACCATAAACGAGGAGTTTTCATACAGAGCAACGAGTAAAGACACAAATTTATAACTAAAACCATAATGCAACATGTTTAACCACAGCAAATTCCTAAAAACTCTATCAAAGGCAGAAGATAAATCAACAAAAAATGTATACACTTTCCTACATTTCCGTAAAAAAGTTTTCTGAATAACCGTGTACAAAACAAAAATATTATCCAATGTGGATAATTAGCCCAAAATCCTGACTGATTTCATGCAATATATTTTTAACTTCTAACCATCGAGTCAGTCTTTTATACAAAATAGTACAAAACAATTTAGAAACACATGATGATAGCCAGATGCCTCTATATTTACCAGGAACATCCTTCCTACCATTCATAAAAATTGGAATTAAAATACTTGTCTTCCAAGACTCCGGTATTATCCTAGTATCAAAAGACTCAAAAGATTTGGTCTCAATGTCTCAAAATTCCAGAATTCCATTGGGATCCCATCAGAACCTGGGGCTTTATTTGGTTTATACCTCCTCAGAGCAAAGTTAAGCTCACTTATAGAGAATTCATGGTCCAAAAGTTCATCATACCAATTCCTACAATAATTAAAAATCGAAATATCTGCAAAATAAGGGTCCAAGGAACCAAATAAATTAAAAAAGTGATAAAACCAATCATCAATAGGAATAAAGCTGAAATTACAAGACTTAGCCTGCTTAACATGTCGGAAATAATTCCAAAAAAGTCTGTTATCTTTCCCAAAACAATTCTGAATTTTACCAGCAAATAATTTTTTTTTTGCAATGCACAACCGCTTCGCCAAACTTCGTAACATAACAAAACGCGAACGATCATTAGAATCATTACTCTTCCTAAAACATCTCCAGGCTCTATTCCTAGCACTAATTAACATCCTACAGTCCGAATCGAACCATGAAAAAGAATTCTTATGTCTCCTGATATTAAATCCACACTTACAGGCCAAACTGAAAAGACAATTACTCAAGTCTTCCATTGAATCAAACTTATTCGGGGTACATATTTCCTTCATAGCCAACCTTAATTTATCCTTTCTAGATTTGTCCCAAAATAACCTATTAATCCTCTGCCTCTTTTCTAAAGAGACCGATCTTTCATTGCCACATGCCAGTCGTAAAATCAAAGGGTTATGATCGGAATCCAAAAATTGATCCATCGTAAGAAAGAGAACATCTCTCCAAACTAACGGAGAAACTATGAACAAATCAATAACAGAACAACCACGATTAGAAATAAAAGAATATTCACCCACTTCATCACCTAAACATCTCCCATTAACAATAATCATATTTAAATCATCACATAAATGAAGCAACTTTCTACCACAAGAATCGATCACCAAGTCTTTTGAATTCCTATGCAAAGGACAAACAATTGAAGAACCAAAAGAATTGCAAAATGCGTCAGAAATTATATTTTTGAATCCAATCCTAGCATTAAAATCACCGGCAATTAATACACTCCTATTATCTAATATTAAACCAGTTAAAGTATCAAAAATAGACTGCCAGTCATTTTCCCTAAAATAAACAAAACATACCAAAATATTACCAAGTTCGACATCAAATTTGACAAGTATTAGAAAAGCATCTTGATAAACAACAACATAGGGAAAAGAGGATCTTATTGCTAATAACCAGCCTGCACAGTAACGACCTTTCGTGCGTAACTTAAAAGCCTTTCCAAAATGGAAATTGTAACCTTGCAAACAATCAGTTAAGTCCGAATTTCTATTAGTAGAACCATACCAGGTTTCAGAAAGAAATACAATATCATATTGCAATAAATACTTCCAAAAAAAACTCAGGTTTATTAAATAAACCAGCACAATTCCAAATCAGAAATGAAGTACTCCTATCTGGTAGTTGCTAGGATGAAATAGGCTTAACCTGGTCACAATCAACATTGTAAAAGTACTTCGTTCCATCAATAATAATTTTATCATAAACTATTTTTACCATTCGTGCTCCAGAAAGTTTTGATTGTCTACCGAAATCCCGAAGCTTAAATCTAATATTTCTCACTCTAGGAGAGAAGTCATCATTTACATAAACCCCATCCGGTTTTAACTCCAGAACTTGTTTCTTAAAATACATTTTTTCGTGATAATCAACAAAAGTACAAATAATTAATCTAGGGATATTGGCTTTTTTCTTTCCCACTCTCATTGCCCTACCGATTTTAATGTCGGGCATCTGTAAAACTCATGAAGCAAATTCAATTATTTTCTTTTTAGTGTCTAGAGAAGATTCATCCCGAACCTCCTCCAAACCGGAATGACAACATTATTTATTCGTCGTTGGTTATCCAAGAAATCAAGTTCATGAGTAATATCATTAAACTTTTTCGTAACATTACTTTGATCACTTAAACTACAGTTTTTATCAGCCAATTTTTCTAATGTTTCTAATCTATTATCTAAGTCAGCCAAACCTTCGTCCAAATTTTTTAACCATTCGGATACATAATTTAACCTAGAAATAAGTTCATCAACCTTAGAATTCATGGAGAAATGTAAACGCAACAGAACATGTATACCTTCTTCAAGGTTAAAATCTTCTCCTTCCAGAAGATATGCAAATTCTTCCTCCTCGTGACTCTTCAAAGATTTCTTTTTACTACTAGTCTCTGCTTCCCTGAAGATTGGTGAATACAACTTTCTTTTCGGATTAACTGCCATAATAGTAAAGACTTACCTATAAAAAAGAAATAAGTTAATAACGAAGATACAGCACTGACAGATGCTCCCAAACAACACCAGCAACAAGGCTAAATTTATAGTAGAGGAATCATGCCCTCTGGTAAGAACTTCACAACCGAAAATTTCTGCATGTAGCACTTTAAGATGCCCACATTTAGCCAAAATATGCCAGGCATCCACAATTTCTTTCTCAACACAAAAGTCACACGATTCTCTCAAATAATTATTTAAAAAATTTAATGAATTACACCTAGCCTATAAAAAAGAAATAAGTTAATAACGACAATACAGAACTGACAGATGCTCCCCAATGTTCACATTTTTCTTTGGTGAAGTAATATCATCCACTATCTTCCTTTTTAGGCTGTTTATTTTTTCATTAACAGATATGAACTACTTGTAACTATAAAAGCAGAAGCAAAAATTATCATGTGAGAATGGTCCATTTTCTAGATTTCAGACAAACATTTGCCATTTCTGCAATGAACTGATACTTGGAAAATAATGGAATATGTGTACTGTAAATGTGTGCTTGCAAACTGACAAACAAGGTAAATATTCAGTTTTTGACGAATAGCGATTGTATGGATGTGTCCTTAAATTAAACACATTCTATTGGGACCATAAGCAGATATGTAAAGTTCCAAATAATTACAAAAAAATTTGTGTTTTGTTGTCTAATTTTCAAAACTCATTTTCTGAAAATTAGCCTCTTTTGGATCTATACCCATGATATTATCATTCTCAATTTTATTTTACACAAGTCTATTTGAGTTTGTTATCTTTGCACTATATGCATTATATATAACATTTAATATAATTTACTAAAATTTGAAATGAAATCAGAGTTAAATTAAATTTGAAAAAGCTCTGGAGTTTTTCACCTGATTCTACTTCCTTGCCATGTAGAATAGCACTGAGAAAGCCTGGTAGAGAGCTAGAGAAGAAAAACAATGCTGTTCTATCTGCACATATCTTGCAGTTCTCTTCTATATACCCTATGTAAACTTGTTTTTGTCTTTACTTTTTAAATAAATTGTTATAAGTTAATTTTTATAATATTAATAACAATAAAGACATATTTTGTCTAATGAAGTTTGTGCACATGGGCTTTTGTTATTTGAGTTTATTTCCAACCAAAGTATAAAGCATTTATTTATGTTATTTGTAATGATTATAGTAAAAAGTTACCATAAAAAACTGTTTTATTATACAGTATTTTAAATATAGTTATTGTATTTTATTTAATCATTTTTTATATCATGTTAACAGAATTGTTATATGAACATTTTCCAAATAAAATAATAAGTTTTAGATAAAATTCTTAATAATTTAACATATGATTAAAAAATAAAAAAAATTTATAAAAAACATAATGTAGACTTACCAGTTTTGGTACAGAATAGATGTATGCTTTGTATCCATATGTTTATATCATCTTTATCTTGTTATACTTCAATTTGAACAATGTGATAGCTAATCAAATAATTTATTTGATAAATAATAAAATTATCACACAACATATATAAAATATTATAATTATTTGCTTTTTTGTCCTATATTTTAATTAGTCTTCTTAATAACTATTTTCAATTTTCTATCAATTTTAAACACTTATCAGACCACAGTTTTTAATTAGAAAGTTCACTGAGATTTTATTAAACCAATATGTACATTTTGGGCCAATTATTACCCTTCCTCATTGAAAATTGCAGTCTGACAAGTCCTTAATTAAAAAATAGCTATTAAGAAGATTAATATATAAAATACTTCTGTCAAAAATAAGGTAAAGTTAAACTATAACAATCATTATGAAAATTCACACACATCAGGAGTTAACAGTCTCACAACAGTCGACCTTTCTTTAGAAAGGTCGACTGTTGTGAGACTCAAAGATTCACCTGTTGTGAGACTCCTGATGTGTGAGACTCAAAGATTCACACACATCAGGAGTTGTCTGCCTCAATATGAAAAATTTTAAAATTCTTCCTCTGCATGAAAGGGATGAAGTTTGAAGAGACATTTTATGTATTGTCTTGTGAGAATTTTTAAAATAAATTTTCTAAGTTTAAATTTATTTGTCCTAGCAACCTTTTTTTTATCAAATGAAATTTAACTGAAAAATACATTAGACTCTTGTTAATTCGAACTCAGAGGGACAACCTAAACAGTTTGAATTAAAAGGAGACCATTTCTGATACTACAAAACAAAAAACAAATGATTTTAACAACACATTAACACCACGTGGCAACCAGAATAATGTTTAATCAATGGGAAATACAAAACAAAGGTACAGTAGTGCATTCAATGGAATACAGAAAAATATATTAGAAAGCCACGAGAAGCAAATTCCACAGAACAACCATAAATTGTCCTAATCTTGTGCCAACTGATTTCCAATGTTTTGAAATTTTAATTAAAATAATTTTTTTTAATTAATTAATTTTAAATTTGATTGTTAAATTTCAAAAGTAGGTAGATGATGTTAATCTACTAATACATGCTGTCGGTTCCAAAAAACAGGAAGCAGTACAATCAACTTCACATTAAAAGTAAATTTGAATTGTCTGAGTTTGAATTAACATGAATCTCGTACTATAATTTTTATTATGTTGATAGTTTCATTTTCAAAATAAATCTGTTTCAAAAGCACAAGCTACAAAATTCTCAAAATAGATACATGTATAAATTAATGTTATACTCAAAAATAACAACAGTTAATTAATTTCTATTTTAGTTTTATAAGAAACTAAATATTCTATCATAATTAATGCACCTTTAAATGTGGTAATATTTGAATAATGCAAACATTTTTAGTCCAGTTAATGAGCCATCCTCAGGCATGGAGAATTGAAGGTGGAATGCAAAGAACACAATGTTCCTGATGGCCCATTAACTGAACCAAAAATATTAGTGTTATTCAAATTTCATCACTATTAAAAGTACATTAATTGAACTGAGTAATGAAATCACAGTAGCTAGATCATCCTCATCCTATCATATAAGTTTGTTTTCAAATATTTATTTTCTATTTATATATAAACAAATATATTCGTTCAAGTAAAGCACACTAAATATTTGAAATATTATTTATTTAAACTCAAATATCAATTTCTAATAAAATCAAGATAAAAAAATCTAATCATTTGCTATTTCTATGCATAATAATAATTAATAGAGAGGTTGCGTCCGACGTTTACAACGCGAAAACGTTTACGTCGGACGTTCATTGTCACCTTCCTGTGAGCCTAGAAGTTTAACAATGGCATTTGGAACGTCAGTAGAATCATGCTCGATGTTCCAAATGCCATTGTTAAACTTCTAGGTTCACAGAAAGGCGGCGATGAACGTCCAACGTACACGTTTTCACGTTGTAAACGCCGGCCTCAACCTCGCTAGTGTGTGTTTATTTTTAGAATTTGATATTTCATGTTTCTGAAGTAGACTAAGAGCATTTGAAGTAATTAAAATTTTTTGTTATTTTAATATCCCTTTTCATAGCAAAAAGGCATGGAAGACATAAAAAAATAACAATAAGTCATATTTATTTAATTAAATTTTCAGATTTGTAATCACTTAACTTTAATAAATCCAGAAAGTCAACCTTATTAATTTTAATAAAAAATGCATTACAGGGAAAATGGCAAGAACTATCTGATACCTGAATTGCACTTATAAATTTTCCATTTTATATTGAAAAAAATCATAAAAATGGAAAATAAAGGAAATATCATCAATGCATTTAAGCTAATGATTATAAAAATTAAAAAACAAAATAGAAAAGATTTTGCTGTGTTACAAAAGAATAATTTAAATGATAAGAAAAACTTGTTCAAGTTCTACCATATAATAAGACTCTCAGAACAATAAAAACATTATATTTATTAAATTTAATTATTTTTAAATTAAATCAATCACTCTTAAACTTTGTTTGAAATTAAATCAGTAATTATAAATAAATGAACAAAAATAAATTTAATATTCAGTGTACCTTATATGCTATTCTAATTTTAGTAATTTTCATACAAACTTAATTTTTAATGATATGCTTAATCATCTAACTTAACATAATGGTTAGATTGTTTATGGGGTAAAATATGAAGTTAATACCAAGTGTTAGTTTTCAATTTTATATATATGTTTTCTGATCATGGTATCTATCTATTATAAAAAGTGTTAACTGTCAACTGTGTCATTTTAGTTAGGTCATATTAACTTATCCTGAAATTGTGTTTCTTCGGAAAAAATTTTTTTTTATCACTTTCTTGATTCAGCAGAAGGGATTATGTTATATTTCATTTATGAGTGTGTAGCTTTTTATTCTAGTAAATCTATTCATCTGTATGTAATAGTTTTTGAAGAAACATGATGTCTTTCATCCTATCACGTCTTTCCTTTAAAAAATGTTTGTATTTCTTTAGAGAAGATTCCTAAAGTGAAATCTTTGAAACTGCATGACAAATCTTATAGATCACAGTCACTAGATTTTGTTCTATACTTGTTTATAAGACTCCGAAAGAACATTCTAATTTTTATAATTTTTCACTAAGACAGATATACTCTTTTAGGAATTCATATACTCTACACTGTATTTTTTTCCTTACCAAAACTTCAAATTATACTGTTTTCGCTTAAAAATTATTCAATCACAAAATGCATTGAAAAATCATCGGATCTGGTAATAAATCAGTAGTGATTGTAACACTATCTGGTGTATGATTTGGTTTATCATCTCAAAAAAAGAATGTTTGAAAATAGCTGCCATTGTTGTTGCAAAATAGATAAATATTTGAAGTGGTTCTCATTGCCAACAGATGGGATTGTACATTATTTGTAGTACAGTAATACCTCGACTTACACTACCCCGACTTACGCGAACCCGGAGTTACGCGATTTTCAAATCTCGTCGATTCGTCTTTTGTTTGAGCGCCACGCAACCCTTGATTACTCACTCCCCCCACACTATTGTTCAGCTTACATGTTCGGACGTGTCGCGCGGAATCGACACATAGCTACAATTTATTTTGTGTTATTTATTTCTATGTTTGTTATATCTACGGAGACTTGAGAGACTTACTATGTCATTCAAACGAAGCAGAACTAATTCTTCCGCATCAAACAAGAAAAGAAAAACTTTATCTTTGGAATGTAAAGTTAACATTGGATATGTTCGTAAAGTCGAACAAGTTAAGCGAGAATGAAGTCATCGTTATTCCTATTTCATTAGACTTTTCGAACGATTCGTTACTAATGCGTTTAACTCATTTGACTTCACGAACGTATCCATTATTAAAGACTTCGATACAAAAATGAAAATTTGTGAATCGGCAAAGAAGTTTGATCTACCGGAATTGTTGGTCAGAACAATTATAAAAGGCAAAGAAAAAATTCTCAAAGCTGTGAAAAATGTTCAATCTTTAAATTCAAGCATCATTCGTAAACATCACAGTATTATCGCTGAGATGGAAACAATGTTAAAATTATGGCGTGGTAATCAAGTAAATGTGGAAAATTGTGTAATAATAATTTGTTATATATATGTATTATCTAAGATTTTATTAAACATTTTTTTCTAAATTATTGTTTTCTTTAGTCTCCGGCCCCAATTAAAAATTATTTGTATGTATTTATATGCGAAATTATACCCCGACTTACGCGNTCACAGTATTATCGCTGAGATGGAAACAATGTTAAAATTATGGCGTGGTAATCAAGTAAATGTGGAAAATTGTGTAATAATAATTTGTTATATATATGTATTATCTAAGATTTTATTAAACATTTTTTTCTAAATTATTGTTTTCTTTAGTCTCCGGCCCCAATTAAAAATTATTTGTATGTATTTATATGCGAAATTATACCCCGACTTACGCGGTTACCGCTCAGTCCCACCTATTGAGTAAGTTCGGGGTATTACTGTATTTTGATTTATTTCTTTAGAATTAAGGCAATGTGGCAGAGAAAGTGTCAATATACGTAGGTGGTTTTTTTTTCGCTCTGATAGTCCATAAAAAAAAAGACAAGTGTAAATAACAAAATAAATTTATTACCAAAAGTTAGGTAAAAACATAGTTACTTATCAACATAATCACCATGAAGATTGAGACATTTGTCATATCATCATTAGTCTCGTACCTCTGCCCTTCCAGCCTCCTAACCACTTTTTCTGTTCAGGAAAGAGATGGAAGTCACTTGGTGCTAAATTGGGGTTATACTCTGGGTGTTTAAATTAAGGTGGTGAAGACTTCCACTCAGCTTGGAACTTTTTAATGTGTGAAAACTTCCACCTCTTTCCTGAACTGAAAATGTGGCTAGTAGGGCAGAGGTTTGAGACTAATGCTGATCTCAAAACAACGTTGTTAAGGCCATCTCAATTCACTGGCGGAAACATTCTACGACATGGGGGATGGAAAAGCTCGTCCACAGATATGAAAAATTCCTCAATCTTCACGGTGATTATGTTGAAAATTAACCATGTTTTTACCTAACTTTTGGTAATAAATTTATTTTGTTACTTACACTTGTCTTTGTTTTATGGACCATTGGAGCTTGAAAAAATAATCACCCTTGTAGTTAGGAAGGTAGTTATTTCTGCTGGGTAGCTTTTTAATTGGTATGCATAAGAAGTTTAATTCTTTATCTCTACTTTAAAGCTTCCAGGGTAGCAATAGTAAATATAAAATCATAGTGATATAATCTTACATTTACTGTTGTAGTGGCATCTCTTTAAGATTGGTGAATTGTACCATATACTGTAGTATAAAAAAAAAATAAAGTTCAATCGTTCTAGAACCGTCACGTGTCTCAGACCAATCAGTCGGCATCAACACTGTTTTGTGTCCCCATACCTGTATATTCTTTTTGGTCACATTATTTAAAAAATATTTATTTGATAAGAGTAAAAAGCTTATTAACTATAGTTAACATTAACTTGTTACAAGCAGTTTGTAATAACTGTATATAAAAAGAGTTCAATACTAACAAATTCATTTTATTAAAACATGTTTTATCTAACAATTTCACAATAAAGTATGTATATTAAATTTGTTATGGTTTATTAGCTGATAAGTATGAGATGACACTTTGAAAGACTAAAATGATACTGTAAAAAAATTATATAGCAGTAAATGTTAAACTTTAAAACATATTTTACAATAACATTCTATAAACTAATTTTACAAGCTAATATCAAAAATTTACAAAAATTAATCAAGTTAAGCAAGAACAAATAAATATTTTTTCTGCCGAGTACATTACTGCAGAAAAATATTTTAATTTTATTTATGCTATAAATATTCTAAATTATCGTTTATTTATATAACCTAAATAATCAATGAAGACAATAATTATTATCATTATTATCTTCATTGACTATTCTCACTCTAAATACTCTCACTATGATTCAAAACAAATTTTATCATCATATGATGAAAAACTAGAAACAATGTTTGATTATACAGTTATAAGAAACTGTTGATAAAAAACGAGCTTATTTGAGTTTTAATCAGACTACATTATATTAATTAATGGAAAACACATGCTGCTTTATCCCGAAAGATATCTAAACAAGGACCCAGTGGAACAGACAGAGCAAAGTTTCAACATCTCTAGATTTACCAGTAGACATTGTAATTAAACAAATAACACTAATGCAAAAAATTTTTATAGGCTATATTAATTAACATACTGAACAAAGAATTATTTTCTTCAATAGTTTCTAAAGTTGCAACAACAATGCATATAGCCAGGGCCGGCACGAGAAATAGCGGGTCCCGGTGCAAGATCATCATACTGGGCCTTTTAATAAAAAAATAAGAGTTTCAAACAACAAAATAATATTTTAATGGTAAACACACCATTCATTAAATACATTAGGAAAATTAGTTAACTTAGCGAATAATGAACGATCAATTTTTAAATTTCATAAATTGTGCAAGAATTGGATCATGCAGGATCCTTGTGCTCGCACCGCCCGGCCCTGCATATAGCATAATGCATACAGCGTGCAGTATATACCCGCATTTCTCAACTGGTAGTCTGAAGCCCATCGTGGCGCAGGGGTTTTAGGAATTTGCAACACAAGAAACATCAGAACCACCAGTATATGTCGTAGCATCGATCAAATCCTATTTAAAAATCATTTAAAATATTTACATGCACATAAAGCAAATTCTAATATTTTTAAATGAATAAATACAGGCAAGCACACTAGATATCTCATTAAACAATACTAAAAATATATTCAATTCATATAAGCATTTCTTATAATATATTTTAATATACCTAAGATAATGGATAAAGAATTCTAACATCTGTTATGACAATTTTTCAAATGACTATCATCATTTTAATTTCTTTTCATTGTAATGCTTAATATACTTTTGAGATAAATCACTTAGAGATAAATTTCCATTGATTTATATGAATTCTGGCACAACACAAGACAAAACATGACATTGAAATACTATTTTCTTCCAGTTGTTTACTAAAACAATAGTAAAACACTACTGACAGTTGTGTGTACCTTTAAGCTATAACTCAATTAATAAGCATTTTAAAGTAATTAAGATCATTACGATAAAATAAGAATCTTACCAATTATCGTAATAAAACTTAATTTTCCACACCTTCCCATTTCAAACAGAATTCTGTCATTAAACATTACCAAACTGTCTACAAAAACGATATCAATTTTACATTTATTCTGCAATTTCTCCGTAATTCGAGCGCTATTTTAATTCTAATTAAAGCCGACAGAAATGCTTAATAGGCATTTATAATCCATGCCGGAAATAGACAGCATATACACGTGTTTTATTTATATTTGTCAATTTCTATTATTATCGTTATTTCGGTTAGTAACCAATTTTCTAATACTATTGTGTCATCTGGTGTCGGAAATTTTTAAAAATTAAATTATTTCATTTTTTTTTCTTTTTGCAATTTTTACTTTTGTTTTTATTAAAAGTGAAATATATTTTGTTTAATTGCACGGTTATTTAAATTTAAATATATAAAATATATTAAAATTCATTAATTCGTACTGCCATCTATCGTTTAGATTATTTAACAAATGTATTTTTTATTACAAGATATTTATTATACGTGATTAAATATGATTTAGATATAATGATTTTTATTCTTATTATATATATATAATTCCTATTTTTATAAAACTATTTCTATTGATACGAGAAAAAAATGTAATTTCTATTCCGAAACATAGAGGGAAGCACTGATAAATTTTAAATACTGTATTATTTTATATGTAAAAAAAATAAAATTATATAAAATTCAAAAATTTTAATACACAATTTAATAACATTAATCATAAACAAATCTGGTTTAAATTATATATATATAATTAACATTAATATAATTCAGTTGCATCTGGTACAGTAATCATGTTTTTAAAACATATGACACATTGTAAATATCCATCTAAAATTAAATTATAATAATTTTAATAAAAACAAATATTTCAATTATGATCGATTAGTAGAACAGGTCGCATGTTATTGCAACATAGAAGATGTTAGCGGTTTCTCAGATAGAAATCTCGTAATAGTAAGTAAAGTGNTGGTTCCCACAGCAGTAAAATTTAAAATTTGAAAATAAAAGATGTTAGCGGTTTCTCAGATAGAAATCTCGTAATAGTAAGTAAAGTGTTTTAAAAAAAAAAAATAGATAAGAAAATATCAAAACAGCATTTTGACGGAGGCGATCTCAAGGTTAACAACTTCTTTCTTAATTTAAGAAACCGCTATTGGCCTACTCCCTAAAGCAATACGCCTTTTTAAATCCTTCCTTTTTGCTAGGGTCTCTGTCCTCTTTTCAGGTGATGCATCCTATTCTAGTAACTTTTTACTTACTATTTTTCTCACTATTAATCGCTCAGTTTACTTACTTTTGCATTACCAGAATAAATTGTATGAGTTTATATAAAACGAAATGACTTACGTTTGTATTTTAAAACGCGTATAAATGAACTTAAATTTATATCAAATACAGTTTACATTTAGAACAAATGCGCATATTTTTTGCTGCGTTACAGATTTCAACACCCACCTCATCGCAAGAGAAGGATTTCCATTTACTTTTTGGATTCTACATAAAGTGTAGGTGGTAAGCGTGGAAGGAGACACACAAAAAAAGGTTCCTAAAGAAGAATAGGATACGTGGGTTGATTCGTACGTTATTTCATTTTAGTAGAATTCAATAAACATAAAGGACAAAATATAAAATTTAATTAAGAATAGATTTAATCAAAAGACACATATAGCCTATAATTTCACTGCAAAATAATAATCTCCTTCTTATCTGAAATTCACAGGAAACAACAATATACTATACACATTACAATCTACAGTCGACCCCCCTATAACACTGTTGATTTTTCCGTTTTATATGAATTCCATGTTTTACGAGTCACTTAGATTTTAGAAATACGTGTGCCGGGCTGTGAACGGCACACGTATTTCTAAAATCTAAGTGACTCGTACAACATGGAATTTTTATTTAATTAATCACTGTATTATAAATATTCTAAGTCTGTTTATAATGACTTCTAGAACTTTTTTCATTATCTCATCTTCATTTATCTTACATTTAATAATAAATATTTTAATATAAATTAACAATATAGACTAAATATAAACTCATTATAAATTATCAGGAATGCTTAATCACAAATGAAATTCTTTATAACTAATAATAGACTAGTCACAAATGTATGCCATACAATTTATCTCGATAATATTTTAATAATAAGTCTTGTGACATTAATGATTTAATTGTTATTCGGCTTATATTTTTAAAACTTTAAATCAATAGAAAATAGCTTGATTAATGGCGACGTATTAGCCTTTTTTTCCATTTTTAAAATTGTAAAGTTGATTTATGCCGCGATAAGTAGATTCTAATTTTTCCGCCCGAAACGAACGTCATAACTTCGGGCTTAAATAGAAACATAAAAAGAAAGGCGGGAATCGAACCCGGATCCTTCTAAAATAATCACGACCGAAGTGACTTTTTTCAATAATAATTCAACTTTTATAATACATATTTAATCGAATTCATAAAAGAAATTATCGTTTCATTTTTAATTTTATTATATTTTTTTATTCCTCACTACTTATGAAGTAAATAATTAGAAAACAAGATTTTTTTTAACATTGAACAAGTTACCTACATACGAAAATCTCCATTCTTCCGCATTTTCTGGTAACTCGGAGTTCCTGGATCGTAACTTTGCCACATTGCTATTTACATTGTTTCATATAAGCAGGAAGTCCGGATTACAAGTGACCGAGTTCACAATGTCGTTCGTCTTCGTTGGTAAACCTCGACCCAACTTAAAGCTCTCCTCTCTCTCACTTATTAGTCACAAAGAAAAAGATGCATATTTTGCCTTTTTTGTGATTAATAAGTGACTTTAATTACACTCAATAGACTACATAAACGAAAGGAGATTTATCAGATGGGTCATCATTTCAGAACCGGTATTAAGTCGCATAAATTTATATAATTCTTGAGCTTAGACATTTCTTCTGGTTAGTAAAATGGCAATAGAAAGAGGACAAGCGCAGTGGCGCACAATTGCAAAAAGGGCAATTGCCTAGGCCCCCACCGACAGGAGGCCCCCCCATACTAATCTTTTATAAGAAAAGATTTCCCTCAAAAAATTCCCTCCGGGAAAAAGTCTGATGTCAACACCGGTTAATAATATCGAAGCAAGTGGCGCGCTATCCTATGGGGAAAAAAGGCCAATTGCTTGGGCCTCCACCAATATAAGGCCTCAAACCAATCTATTATAAGAAAATGCTCTTCAAAAATATTCCCTCGAAGATAAACGTCTGAAATCAACACCGTACGTGGGGCCCTCTAATTCAAATTTGCTTAGGGTCTATGAAGTTATAACACACCACTGATCGAAAGAGAGGATGTTTCTGTACAAAAACTATCCAAAATAATTTATTACTGATTTATAGTAACAGTTCAATTAGAAAGATTACAACTTTAAGGTTAATAAAATTATTATTATTATTTGAATTATTTTGAACGGTTCATTTGAAATTAGAGATTGTGTTGAAAAATTTTAACTTGACCCAAATACGTACAGCATTTATACAGAAGTACGAAGGTTATTTTAAAAGAATGATACTCTTTTACATCTTATATTTTTGCACAATATGAATATAAGTACTTTAAACTAATTGTATTGAGAAATTAAATATAGGTCTATGATATAAAATTAGGTTAGAATAGCATTGAAAGGTTGTAGGAAGAAACTTCCTCCTACTTGAAAATCATTTAATAAATAACTAATAATTTATTAAAAGCACGAAAATGTTGTTTTATATGTGCACAATGAATTAATAAAATCTCTGTAAAGAAATTAAAATAATCCATTAAATTTATTTTTTTGACATTTTTGGATCCAAAAATGCAAAAGCAAAAACAAAAAACTGTTACAAAATTCTATGCTTATCGGAATCCATTTTGTATTATCTCTCAGGACTGGATGACCCAAACATTTTGAAACTTGGCATTTCTATACATGGGGCATTGATGTTATTTAATTTTAATGGTTAAAGATTAAAGGGGTGGGGAGATAGAAGGAATGGTCTGTCATATCTCCAGGTCAGACAATGAAAATCTTACTTATTATTGTCATTTACAATATTTAGAAAAAAAATTATCTCTACCCTCAAAATAAAGCCTTTTGCCTGTTTATAATAATAATAATAGTAAATCCACAAATAGGATACAAAATTAGCCATATTCTATACAATGTTGTTTTAAGTGAATGCTACCATACTGAATAAATAAATTTATCATTCTGTCAGTATCACATTAATTTGAAGTTAAGAAAATTCTTCTGGAATTAATTAAATTTTCTTTTTCCTTTCTTATTTTCAACACTCCATTGAGCTTATAAAAAATATAATTAAATTTTATATTAAAACAATAATTTGTTTTGTATTTCATTTTTATATAAACTTATCTTTTGTCTCCATTTTTATGTTTCATACTTTTAATTTCCGAATCTAACAATTAAACAGGCAAAAATTTGTTTTTTAAATTTGTAATTTTTATTATTAATGTAATAAAATGAAAACATTTAATTGCTGGACGTAAAAATGTTGTGTTGTTCATTTAATAAATTAATTTTTATACTTTATCTGTATATCCTTTTATTTTTATTACTATAAATTACTATATACTCTTACTAATAAACTTAATGTTTTGATAATTTAATAAACTTATTACATATGACTATAAAAAAGTTTTAAATTTGTATATTACTTTAAAAACCACGCGTTTAAAACCTTATCTAGTAGCATTTCAAATAAGTAAACAATTGTATTTTTATTTAAAATTACTAATACTACATAATTAAAAGTTATTGTCTTCCGAAAACGTCTTCCTTTCCTCATATTCGAGAATACGTATTCGAGAGACGTATAAAATGCTTCATTAAACCGAAAGCATCGACATTTTTTTCTCGTGTAAACTCAAGTCGCCCGCTGCCACATTGACATTTATAATCAGAACATTGACATAATTCGTTAATATACAGTTACTAAATTTTAAAATAAATATCCCTATGAATAAAAGCATGTACTTATGATTGGCAACACTAGGAATTAGCAGTCCAATAGCCAGACCCTCTCGCACAACCTATGACGACAGGCAGGATTATTGCTGGTGTACACAGCTTCTTCTGCACTAGGCCAAGTCTAGTTGTAACATAAAAATGTCGCTTTATTGTTGTAGCCTTTTATAACTCCGGAAATTGTTGAAACACAGTTTTGATGTGTCATCGCCTATACGGCTACACAC